TATGTTGCGCGTCGTCATGTTGTCAGGTGGTAACTGCGGTACTGCCGTGTACTACGTGGTAGTGTATAGTGTAAGTAGTACGTATGCTACTGCATATGTACAGTGTGTCACAGTGTGCTTGGTGCTTATACGAGTTCGTTCACACATAATACTCCAAGCTATAGCTAATAGCTAGCTTGCATGTGGCCGGTGTGGCCATTACTCGCTACGGCCGGCTTACCTCTGTATGTGATGTGTAGTACAGTCATGTGTACGTACATTATAGATCGAGCTCGACGTACGTACGCATGTACAATCGAGTCCTCTACTGAATGTACACGTACGTCTTGTCGGTTTACCCCTCTACACATACGTATACGTACGTACGTACCTGGCCGTCTGTCGAGATCATTAATTAATTAATCGTCACCGTCAGATAACTGTAGAAAAAGGAGGGAAAAAAGGGGGGGGCAAAGGACGCCATCGATTGACACGGCAGTTTTACGGTTTCCCCATCGGCCGATTGGTTAGTTGAGATCGATCGATGGAGAGGGGTGCATGACTGGACAGAACGACGAAAATATACATATATATAGCCAATAATTTGAGCTAGCTAGCGCTAGCTAGCCATGTGTATGTGCATATAGTATTTGGCACGGCTGGCTAAGGGTGTGTAGTCCGTGTCACATCGAATGTTTGACGCTAATTTAGAGTATTAAACATAGACTAATAAAAAACTAATTTCATAAATGAAAGCTAATCTGCGAGACGAACTTTTTAAGCCTAATTAATCCATAATTATGAAAAGTTTACTGTAGCATCACATTGTCAAATCATGGTGTAATTAGACTCAAAAGATTCGTCTCGCGAATTAGTCCAAGGTTATAGAATAGGTTTTATAATTAATGTATGTTTAATACTCTAAATTAGTGTATAAACATCCGATGTGACAGGGACTTAAAATAAGTCCCTGTTTCGCAAGCAGGCCCTAAGCTCTCTCGGGCCCTCCATGGCTTGATCGATGTACTGGCTGGCTCACTGACGACGATCTCGAAACTGACATGATGTTGTATGTCAAGTACTACTATACCGCGCTACAGTATATAGGCTGTGTTTAGATCTAAAATTTGGATCCAAACTTCAATTCTTTTTCATCACATCAACTTGTTATACACACAACTTTTCAGTCACATCATCTCTAATTTCAACCAAAATTTAAAATTTGCGCTGCCATACTAGAGTAGCTCTCGCTAGCTGGAAAAGCCGGCACGCCGAGCTGTATCTATCCTCTCCGATCCGCGCCAGCGTACGGTCGGTCGGGTCGCCACTCTGTACTAGTCTCGCCTGCTATACGTGCAGTGCAGAGGACGCTCGATCTCGCTCTCCGCCTGCAGGCATGGCGTCCGACCAGGAATAGACGTGGTCATTTCGTGATCTCACTTTCTTTAAGTATAGTTCTCTCTTCATGAATACTAGTACTCCGTAATTCTCGGTTTTGATAAGGTAGATCGTCTTTTTCTTTATTACACGGAAGACGTACATCGCATTCACGTACACATCTATAAAGTGTATCTTTAACACAAAAAATGACTCCTTCACATAGACATTACTCTGTAATCAAGATCAAAACAGATACTACTCCAGATCTTAGTGTAAGTGAGGTTAAATATATTAGAAAATATTGTCGCTCAAGTTTTCCTTTTTCTTAGAATCAAACCTGACATTTACATTTGACGGCGGAGTATACATTACAGTTGAGATTTCGTTATACGAGAGTGAATCAACGCTCACCTGAGGTGCAATCATCTCGATTGTCGACCTATGGGTTTTACCGGTTTACCACCTACTACTCACAAGCTTTATAGTAGTAAATCGTACTACTCCTAGCTGGTACACGCGGACACGGACATGGACACGTACGTAACTGACCGGCGGCAAAACCGCAGCTGCGAAGGTTGTCGGTATCCCGATTCGTATCTTAGTATTTTACGATACTATGATCATACTAAGCCGAAACGATACTGATCCCATCTAGTATCTTAATTTTCATAGTATCTCGATCCTACTATTCATTACTACACGATCATACAAAATCTTAGGTGATATCCCGATTCTACGATCCCTACGATACTACAAAATATTATTTTAAATAACATAGTTTAAAAATAATGTAACTAAATATGCTCAAATTTATATAAAAATCAGTTAAATATATCAAAACCAACGTGGTTTCTCTTGATAAATGTCTCTATTTACATGATATATATCATTACTACATTTTTCTTATACAGAATGGCTATATATAATTAATATAAATATTAATTAAACTTAAAAAAGAAAATCTCATAGTATCCCGATACTACGATACGATCCTACGATACGATATTACTTTGAGCAGAACTATGCTAGTATCGTGATCCTAGCAACCTTGGCAGCTGCGCGAGCAGATGGCCGCGCCGCGGCGCTTGGCGTGTCGTTGGTCCACCGCTCGCGGCATCAGCAGATGACCGCGCCGCTTGGCATCGTTGGTCCTCCGCGCGCGGCATCCGTCTGAGCGCGCCGCGGCCGGTCCGGTCCGTTCGTTGGGTGCAAAATTCCGTGGACCATGCAAAAGCATGGCCGCGTCCCGGCCCGACCGAGAGCGAGAGCTCGGGCGATTCGGCGTGGCGGTCGTACGGTGTACGTGTACATGTTGGCGCGCGCGTTGCGCTTAGCTCGTGAGAGATCGCGCGAGTGCGCCTGTTAGTTTTTCAGTTGGCATTTAGCTGTCGCGATAGGGAAAGATGCAGGCCTGGCCGGGGAGCTGTTCATGGAACAGTGCGGTTTCTGCAACGTGATTGTTGATTGGCATATGCACCCGGCCTGTGGCTGTACTGTGTGTGTGTTCTGGTTCCATTCACCGACCAACAGCAATCACGTTCTATCGTCAGTGCAGTGCATGCGTACCTCCCTTCTTTTTAATTGGACAACACGCATATGCATTTGTAAACGGAGAAAAAGGTTCTACGGAGATTAATTATGACTTTATGACCATGTGACTGGGAACAGGAGTTTTGAGTTAACCATTTTCTTTTTCTCGATCGGCAGAGATCGGTGTATCTTTTTCTATATATACGAGCGTTAGGGAGCGCATTTATATACTCCATTTTTTAGAGCGGTAAAATAAAATCTTATACTACATATTTTTTTAAAATATATAATATGAAGTGTTTGTACTTTTGCCCGTGGGCCGTGGCTCGTGGGATTGGAAACCTCAAAGGGATCGATCACGCAACATGGTACTTCACTATCTGAAACTAAATCGTTCCGTCCTCGAAACCAGGTCATATATACGACACGATCGATCCTACTAAAATCCGATCATAGGGTGTGTTTAGTTCTAAAGTTTTTTTTCTAAACTTTTAACTTTCCATCACATCAAACCTTTCATACACACACAACTTTTCAGTCACATCGTCTCCAATTTCAACCAAATTTTAAACTTTGGCCAATCTAAACACACCCATAGTTGAGCCAGCCCTTGAGCTGACACCTGCACGGGCTATCGCTTCCCTTGGGTGAGCCACCTCACCATGTTATTATCGGAACAGTATGTGAGTGTTGCTCTGGTGTCCTCTATTTAATTTAATTTGGTTGCATTGGCTGAGCCGGCTGTGTTCATTCCTATATGTTCCCAACTCCTCTCTTATTATCCACGTGCACGTTTTTAAAACTGCTAAACGGTACGCGTTTTATAAAAAGTTTATATAAGAAAGTTGCTTTAAAAAAATATATTAATCCCTTTTTAATTTTTTTTATAGCTAATACCTAATTAATCACATGATAATCTATCGTTTCGTTTTCCGTGCGGAGGGGAGGGGTTCCCAACCCCTCAAAAAAACATAGCCATATGCCCTTTTCCTCAACTACCTTATCTTTTCTTCCCATTGTAAAACACGTGTATTTTGCTAGCTTAAAATATATTAGTAAGCTTCAACGAACGTGTCAAATAGTCATTTTTTGCAATTAATATGTTTATAAGATATATAAAAGTATAACAACATGAAATTGTTTTTGCACGAATTATTATTTTTATATCAAAATTATTCACGATTTTAAAATTTGACTGCTTGTATTAGGTTGGGCCCGGAAGAAATAGGGCCGAGTATATTTCAAACACGCCTTGCTAAAAAGAACAAGCCTAGCAAATTAAGTCTAAGGTCCCTTTTGAATCCAGGCTGACATCCTCAAGGAATAAGTCTATTTTGCTTTCTCAACTCTTGCTCTTGAGTGAATCGCCTCCCTCAACCGCAAACCGGGTATAACATCTCCTACATCTTCGAAAACCAAAGCAAATTAAGTCACTCGGTTGTTTAGATAGTGGTTTCGTCCTACATGAAGCTCATGGGACGCACAGATGTGCATAGCGGTTATGTCTTCGTTGCTGCAGTAACTAGAGATGGCGAAGCAGGCGGAGGAGCTACGAGTCTAATACGGTGTGCTCTACTTCAACTGGCAACAACAATAGCAGCAAGCAGGCAACAGCGGCGGTGTCGGTGCAGCAACTCCCAATGGCATTGCACGCCTAGGAGGACGCCAGCCGGCTGTGTATGGGGGAGGAGCTCTCCGGTCGCGGTCTCGAAGTCGAAACTCCCACTGGCCGCTGGCTTCCACCGCCCAGTATGCGCGAGAGAGAACGAGAAAAGAGAAAGGTGAGTTAAAAAGAAAAAGAGATTAGGACTAACATGTGGGTTGTTTTTTTTTTACTGACATGTCGGTCCCATGAGTGCCATGTAGGACAAAAATGCTATCCAAACAGCCGATGGACTCGATCTGCTCCAGTTTTCGAAGATATAGGAGACGTTATATCTGCTACTGTGGTTGTGGGAGGTGATTCAATCAGGGGCAAAAGGTGAGGTACCCAGAGTAGACTTGTTCCAATACTCAAAACTCGCAAGCCATCTCGGCCCACAAACAATAGAGCGGCCCCAGTTCGAGACGCCATCCCAAAACCCCTCCAAAGTCAAAAACCCCCACGGCCAGCCAAACACCGGCGCTCCCCACACCCCCGCCGCCGCCGGCCGCCGCCGCCTATGCCCTTCCGCCCCACGCTCCCCCGCCGGTGCTCCCACGACCCCAAGCTCTCCTCCTTCCTCTCCGCCCTCGCCTCCCTCACCGCCTCCCCCTCTTCCTCCTCCTCCTCCCCTTTGCCGCCCGCCGGCTCGGTGCCCGCCTCCCCCACCCCCGCCGCCTACAACGCCCTCATGTCCGCCTACTCCCGCGCCGGCCGCCACGGCGAGGTCCTCCGCCTCTTCCGCTCCCTGCCCTTCGCCCCCACGGCGCCGCTCTTCACCACGCTCATCTCCTCCCTCGCCGCCTCAGGGCGGCCCCTCGCCGCGCGCGCCGCCTTCGCCTCGCTCCTCAAGTCCGGCGTCCCGCCCACCGCCTCCGCCTTCACCGCGCTGCTCAGGTCGTCGAGCGACGCGCTCGACTTCGTGGACAGCGTGTTCCGCGCCATGGAGGCCCTGGGCTGCTCCCCGGATGCCGCCGTCTACAACTGGGTCATCTCGATGCTCTGCGACTTCCAGCTGGTGCAGGAGGCCCTGGGGTTCCTCGACCACATGCTCGAGAACGGACCGCGACCCACCGCTCGCTCCTTCACAGCGATTCTACGTGCTTACTGCGAGCAGGGAAGGTTCTTCGACGCAGGGAGATTAGTCGATACGATGATCCAGAACGGTTGCCCACCGGATGTAGTATCATACACCGTGCTCATTGAGGGGCTCTGCCGTGTTGGGGAATTCAGCACGGTGGAAATGATCTTAGGTGAAAGTGAGTCGCAAGGGTGGATGCCAACTGCTGTTACATATAATATTTACATGTCTGGCTTGTGCAGGATGGGGTTCTTGGATGAGGCATTTCGTCAAGTAGATATCATGCGCGGCAGAGGGCTGTCCGTGACAGCTGAGACAGTGCATATTCTCTTCGATTGTTTGTGCCGAAATGCAATGTTTTCAGAAGCAGTGTGCTTGCTGGAACATAGTGAAGAGCTGGGCTGGGATGTTGATGTGTTTTGCTATAACACTCTGATGAGTAGGCTTTGTGACGTTGATGATTTTGCCAGGGTCTTGAAGCTGCTGGTTGATCTGTTGAAGAAGGGCATTGGACCAGATAAGTTTAGTTTTACCATTGCAATTCGGAGCCTCTGCCGAGCTGGGAAACTTCGGCTGGCAAAGTGCCTTATAGAAAATAAGGGGATTAAGTATGATGTTGTGGCTTTCAATACCTTGATTCATGGGTTCTGCATAGCTGGGGATTTAGACAGGGTTCAGCAAACTCGTACAGATATGATCAATAGGGATGTTATTCCAAATAATTTTACTGATGCAATGCTGATTGATAGTTTATGTAAAGAGCGAAAGTTTGGCGAGGCAAAAAGATTTGTTCTTGACTCTTTGGTAAATGGTTTGGTGCCTGATCATCTTATTCGTCTGAATAATTGGTTGGTAAAAGCAAAAAAAATGACACTGTTACTGAAGTTACTCTATGAAATACGCTGTAAAGGAATTGTGGTAGATACTTCCATTATCAGTCCATTGGTTAGGGTATTTTGCTGGGAGGGGTACTGTCGGCGTGACAATTTCTATCAAATTTCACCTATACTTGACATTATAGTAACATATGTCGAGCAGTAATGGAGCGCAGAGCAGTGTGATTATGTGAAACTCATTTTGGTTTTATTCTCTGCTAAGCAAACAATGGTTGACAATTGCTACATCAGAGATAATCATCTTTCATCAGGTCAGTTGGTGCCAGAAAATATATTATCTATAATATTAATGTCTTCACAAGATATTAATCTTTGTTAGGTTTTCAGGGGAGGAATAGCTGAGTTTGAACAAATGACACTTAGATTTGAGGAGTCCATTCGAAGCTATCAAGTTTAAATGTGCTTTTAGATAAATAATGGACAGAGAGGTATGCTTTTTTTTGGGGGGGCTTGTTCTGTATTTACTCCCACAAGGGCAATCCCTATGCTGAAATCATTGTATTATACCACCTCTGTTTTTTTGTGAAAGAAAATCATTGTTGTACTAGATATTTTTGGAGATGACATGTCCTTTTGTTGTAATTTTGACTCTTCAATAGAAACTTCAATAAGCCCCAGGTTCTTTTTAGAAAAACCGAATCTGACTTTCTTTTGTTTATTAATGGTGACAATCACCTAATGGTCTGAAATGCCCTTCCCTTGAATAGGAGCCAGTGGTGACAAGTCATGGGTATGGCTAATATGCTGGAAGGTGCACTTGTTGACATTATAAGTTCTCAACCAAGGTATTGTTCTCCCGATAGTCAGTTACATCAAATGTAAATTGTTCTGTGACATTATCATCAGTTAAATAGGTAGGAAATTTTGGAATTTGTGTGATATTAGAAGTAGCTATCACACTGAATTTGTTTTAAAGAACACTTAATAAATAAAATATCCAAATGAACATGAAGACGTGTGGTTTCTGGAAAAATGTTCTGCTAATGTTGTACCTCATGATTGTGACTCCCCAACCCAAGGTTGAGGACAAGACTAGTACAGTACATCCAAAGTTTAAACTGTAAACTCAAGTACTATGGAAATACTAGACTACTCTTCACATTTCATCTTTTACTTCAATCAGTAATCAAAAGCAGAAAGTTGGTGCATCACTTCCTCTACCACCTTATCAAATACTTAATATGTGATATTGGAGGGATCTCAATGTCACTTAACTTCAACAAGAGAAAGCTATAATAATGTTGTGTACGTAACTGTTTGAATTGTTGAACATTGCTGATACATTCTTGGATCAAACTATCAAGCTCATCATTGTGGTGCTTCCTATTATAGGTCTCTTCTGCATATACATATGAATGCAACCTTGGAAATGAAGGGTGGTCACGCATTTGTCAAGTGTACTCATCTGATAAGATGTCTGAGAGCATGTCTAGTATGAACACATTTGTTCATTCAACTTTGGATCATCGATGTGAATTTATCATTTTAGCCGAGTAACAGGACCATCTTCGTTTTCATTTGGGGTGTGGAAGGCTGGAAGCTGCTAGGGGCGCATCAACCTACTTAGATTTGCCTACCCATTTGGATGATGATAAATCACATGGGCTACACAATATACATTCGGTGTGCCCTACTTGGAAAGTGATGTGCTGTTAGAATGAGAATGGCATAGGCATACTGTAATTAGCATAAGAGTTTGTTGGATGGACCTTGTAACTCCTGTCTCCTAAGTTCCCTGAGATGGCACTGTAATAGTAACTAGCACTTCTGAGTCGTGTGTGGAGCTCTCAGACCTAACTTATTTGCTAGTAGATGAGTAGAGACACAGAACTGCTTAGTGCTACTGTTTACTGCCTGAAACACAGTTCATTCTTCTGGTCAATTCAATAGGGAAATGTTGATACTTCACACCAGCAATTTTTTTTGAACGAACATTTTTTTTTGAACGAACCACACCAGCAATTCATGTGTTTGACTGTTGGACACGGCATCTTCTGCAGCTTGTAACTAAAATCTCCTCTTGAATTGTTTACCTGCAAATGTTTTTCTTTTACACGAGTGTAATTTCGGTCTAGCTATATCAACGACTCATATTATAAGTTAACAAGGATCTGAATGTTTGGTGGTGATGCAGGGTGTTGCTATACTTCAATCCAGGTACAAGCGGCTTCCTTTTCAATCCTTCTTTCGGCCATCCTCTCCCGGACAGCACACGCATCCTCCCACCTCCCTGCATCGGCGAGCGACTTGGACACGACAGCGTATGTGCCTCCTCCGGCGTCCACTTCTCCGTCGAGGAACAACTCCGGCAGCCGCTCGCCGGCGACACCGGCAACGCCGTTCGATACGGCATAGGAGCAGTAAACTCCCAGCGCCTTCTCGGCGTCGTATTCCGCTGGCATCTGCCTGAAGATCTCTCCAGCTCTGTCAAGCTGCCCGGCTCGGCCGCAGGCGTCGAGCACGCACGTGTAGTGCTCTCGCCGCGGCGAGATCCCGTACACCCTCGCCATGGCGCCCAAGAACAGCAGCGCCTGGTCCACCCGCCCGGCGTGGCAGCAGGCGGTGAGCAGCGCCAAGAACACGGCGCCGTCCGGCCGGACCCCGCGCCGGAGCATCAGGGAGAAGAGCTGCAGCGCCTCCCTGCACCGGCCGTGCACGGCCATGGCCCGCGTGATGGTGCCCCAGGAAACCATGTCCGTCTCCGGGAGCTCGACGAACACCTTGAACGCCAGCCAGGCGTCCCCGCACTTGGCGTAGGCGTCGATCAGCGCGTTGCCTACGACCAGCTCGCCTCCGAGACCTTGCTTCACGGCGTACGAGTGCAACAGCTTGCAGCTGACCAGAGAGCCGGAGGTGGCCACGGCGTGCAGAGCGCTGACCACGGTGGCGTCGTTCGGCGCGGCGTCGCCGTCGGAGAGCATCCCCCGGAACATCGCGACGGCGTCCTGAGGGCTGCCGTTCCTCGCGAGGCCCCACACCATCGTGGTCCAGGCGAACACGTCCCTCTCCGGCATTTCGTCGAACAGCCTGCGCGCACTGGCGAGGGCGCCGCACTTGGCGTACACGTCCAGCACGGCGTTGTCCACGATCGGGTTGGCGCCGTGGCCGCCCCCGCGCCTGAGCCAGAGCCCGTGGATCGCCCGGCCCAGGGCGAGGTCCCCCAGCCTTGCGCACGCCGGGAGGACGCTCGCGAGCGTGAGCGCGTTCGGCGCCGCGTCCATCCTGGCGAACGCCGCCACCGCCTCCGCCGCGCGCCCGCTCCTCGCCAGCGCCGAGATGCGCTTCGTCCACTGCACCACGTCTCCCGAGGAACGGATCATTCATGACAGACTAACAGTTTCGCACCGCGTAGCGAGTCGAGTTTGCACTCTAAATAGTTTGTGACAGGATGAGAGATGGACGCGGCTCTCACGAGCAAACTTTTCCTTTTTTTGTTGGAGGGAACTAATAATGCAAATCTTAATTTATTTGTTGGAATGGGCTAATAATACTTCTTTTTAACTTTGTAAAGCTACAATAAATATAGTGCAATTTTGCAGAGCTTAATAGAGGCCATGGCCCTGCTCAGCCCCAGCAATCAACCATTGTTCATGTACCATGTTATCTGTACACAGCTCCCAAATACTATATGAGTATTTAGATTCAGGGGTGTAAAGTTTTAGCGTGCCACATCGGATATTATATAGGGTGTCGCATAGGATGTTCGGGCACTAATAAAAAAACTAATTATACAGAATCAGTCAGTAAACAGCTGGACGAATTTATTAAGCTGAATTAATCCGTCATTAGCAAATGTTTACTGTAGCACTACATTGTTAAATCATAGAGCAATTAGACTTAAAAAAATATGTCTCGCAAATTAGTTGCAATATGTGTAATTAGTTATTTTCTTAGCCTATATTTCATACTTCATGCAGATGTTCAAACGTTCGATGTAATATGGTGTAAATTCTTTGTGTGGGAACTAAACAGGGCTTATATGGATTGCTAAAAGGCAATGTATTAAATCTCCCGCTATATTTTTGAAACTAAACCGACAGGAGAGCTGCTAATGATATTTTCAATAAGCAGGAGACGGGTTACAAGAAAAGAAAAAACAACCACCGGCTGGTTGAACAGTTACACAACACACGTCAGAACTCACTAACAGCTAAAACCACCGACGGAGCCCAATGTTGGATGTCGTTACCACTATAGCTATACTCTATACGCCTATGCCACTATCTGAGAATATAATTATTTGAGAAGTGTTTAACTATTTTTTTCTCATGTACAATTTGGTCGTTATAGTCTATTTAATCTACTATTAACTATTTGAGAAAGCCGTTTGCTAAATGTTTCGGTCAGTGATTTAAAACACCAAAAGTCATTCACTTGTAATTTATGCAATCAGATTATAGGGAAAAATTGCACCAGCCATAATTAACCGTGTACGTTCTGCATAAACACATAGAGGAGGGCATATATATCTATCTATCTTATGGCGGAGCAGGTGTAGCCGCTGGCGTCGATGGCGTTGTTCCGCCGCGGCGTCCTCCTGAGGCGCACGACGCACTGGGCGTCGTGGCGGTAGCTCAGCCTCACCAGGCTCCCCACCATCCTGTACCGAGACCGCGCCCTCACCGTGACGGCGAGCGGCAGCCCGCCGCCGGACTCGAGCAGGTCCTGCATGCCGCGCCCCGCCGCGTACATCGGCTTCCCCTCCGCCGCCACGAACAGCCTCACCGTCCTCTTGCCCCGCGCCCCGACGTCGTAGGAGGACCCCTCCTCCTCCACCCCCTGCGAGGTGGCGAAGGTGAAGCGGCCGAACGACATGTCGAGGCGCGGCGGGCGGACGTGCAGGGTGAACACCCTGGAGTGGTTGTCGACGGCCATGGCGACGGTGAGGTTGCAGCTGAGGAAGCTGGTGATCACGCCCGAGCCGTCCAGGCCTTCGCCGAGGCTGAACTGCTGGATCTTGCCGACCTTGAAGGTGACGCCGGGGTCGCGGGGCTTGGTGGCGACGAAGAAGACGAGCAGCGCGAACGCCACGCTGACGGCCACCCTCCACGCCACCTGGAACACGATGCAGCAGCAGGGGGCGTCCGGGTCCAGCTTCACGTACCTCCACGCCCCGCTCCTCGCACCCTCGCTGTCGTCCTCCTCCTCCTCGTCGACGCCGCCGCCTGACCGCCCCGACAGCACCTGCCGGCCCCGGTGGCCGCCGCCGGCAGGCAGCTTCTTGTCGGCGGCGAGGAAGGAGTTGTTGGAGCCGCGGGAGGAGGAGTAGCGGGACAGGGTGAGGCGGGACGCCTCCTGGTCGACGTCGTTGTCGTGCGCGGTGGCGTCGTCGACTACGCGGGAGTGGCGCGGGGCGGCGAACGCGGCGTCGGGGAACGGGGAGAGGATGATCGCCGTGGACTCCGACGCCGGGTGGCTGAGCGTGTGCGACGCGGCGGAGGGGCTCTGCACGTAGTAGGCGCACGGGGAAGGGTGGAACAGAGGAAGCTCTTGCTCGTCCGCGCCGATGCCCGTGCCGCCTGCCATGTCGCCGTCGCCGATCGAAGCCTGGTGGAAGGCCGGAGCTAGAATTTCGCGTCGCTTTGCACGTCAAAATGTGATCGATCGCTTATATAATAGGACAGTTAAGCTCACGTTTTTAAATGGGGACTACCTATTGATTTTTCAATAGGTTTGGAGCTTCAAATCTTGTAGAATTTTCAACGAATGAATACAATTCATTTAAAATGAAATAAAAAAGGACATATATGTCAACAATCGTAATTAAAGAAACAACAGCTGTAAAAATTTATTTTAGTGCATTAACTAATGAGCGTAACTGTATGTTAAATATATAAGAACATAAATCTTGATACAAAATTGAGGAGAAGTCATCAAACATGATGGGTTATTCAGTTTGATGCCAATTTTAACCATACCAATTTTGCCAAAGTTGCTAAAAAGTGCATACATTTAGTTTGTTGTCAAACTTTGGTAACAGGGCCCTCAATTTTCAGGGGGGCCCTAGGCCCAAAACTTCAACACTAGATATACAACTCAATAAGTAAATTGGTAGCCTAACTAGTCCCGAAAATCTGTTATTTTTCTTGTCGTTTGGGCTTCGATTATGCCTTTGCCGGTTCGCACAGTTGCGCCGGTTCGCAATCTTGAATCGCCCCCCACTGTGGACCTTGCCAATCACAACGAACAAGACTAGTAAATGACGCCTCACCTGTTTCTCTTGTGCGGTCGTGCCGCCTGACGCCTGCCGCGCCCCTGACCTAATTCTTTCTGGTAATTTCTAATCCGGTAATCCCTAATATTGGATTATCATTTTAGGCCATTCTAGATTGCTATGAAATATATTACAGAGTATAAATTATTTTCATATTATATCATCAATTAAGTTTTTATCCTTTAACTTTGCACAGGGCCCCCAAATTTAACGGGACGGCCCTGTTGGTAAATACATAAGAAATTCTCTAAAATATTGATAATATTGCTAACTTTTCTAAATTTTGGTAATGTTTATTTTAACTAAAATATGAATAGCCCCTATAAATCTATCACGAGTAAAATAGCATAACCGTTTAAATGTGAATCAGCTGCAATTAAGTGTACGTTAGCGCATGACAGGAAGGAGTTCATTGAGTGGCCCGGTTGGCGTCGTGGCGAGTGTCCATGATGGTTAGCACTTGGCAGTGAAAACGTAGCAAGTGATGAGTACACATGCCGCAATTTTAGCATGGACCTCACCTTTATTAACCTCTTTTTGTGTAGTTTTGCAGAACAATTATCTAGCCATGAGCCGCTCTGTGTGAACATGGAACACCGGTGTGGCCTCTGCTAATCACTACTCGCTACAATTATGGCTGCCAAACTGGAGCATGTATAGCCTTCCACTACGATCAAACCGATTAGTCTCCGCGCAAGCTTAGTGCTAGAACGTAATAATTCGAACAAAGTAATGTAGGATTAATCGATTGCATTGCTACACTTTGAAATTAAAATGGATGAACTTTGGTGGGCTCGCCGTTGTAATAAGCTCCAAAGATATTTGAACTTTTGGTAAGCCGGCCGGGCCATTAACAATGTCACACCCCGTGCGCCGCTCCTCCATTATGCACCATCATGACAGCACAACTGTGTTACATACTTACATGTGCCCCCGGCTGCTTCGGCAGCGACGAGTGACTTAGATGGCAAGATAGATGCCAGAGTGATCATGTATGTATACACATCGGCCAATGATGATGCATCAGGCCAACAAAGTGGCGTGTCATTGAACACCGTTGAGGCCCCTTTGGCAAACGCATAATTCTAATAGAAATGCAAGTAAATAAATAGAGGATTTTAAAATGCATGAAAAACAGAGAAATAGTTGTTTTATTGGTTTGGAAGAAAAATTGTAGGAATCGGATAAGAGAAATGGATTCAAAGGAAAATTTTGAAGAGGTTAGAACCCTTGATAATTTTTTTTCAAAATTTCTACAGGATTGACTATTTCATAGGAATTTCAAATAATAGGGTAGGATTCAATCTTCTGTTTCAAATGCTTTTATAGAAAATTTTTCGATAGGACTGAAATCCTTTAGACTTTCTTATGTTTTTTCTGCAAATCAAAACGGGCCCGGAATTGTGTTCGCGAGATGTACCGTATGCGCTATGCGATAATAATCCTCATCAGTTTGCATGATGGCATCGTGTTTAGGTCAGTTGGGCCGGCTCGTCTCGGAAGATTTGGAAATTTGGCCCAGATTGGCTTGGTTGTCTCGGCAGATTTGGCTCAATTGGGCCTGCCCAGTGTGGGACGAACTTAGGCTGTGTTCGAGAGGAGAAATTGGACATTCTGCCACTGTCAATAGTGGGTTTCGCCACAATGCCATTCTGCGGAATGACGTCATTAAAATGCCACTTTCAACCGATGCCAAACATTTATTTTTCCATTTCGGCCATTTCATAAAATTTTCACCATTTTTCACACTTCAACGGACCAAGATACCCCTCTCTCCTACAGTTTCTTTCACCTCCTCCGGCAAACATGTGGGAAGAGACGAGGCTGTGCGAGGAGAAGGGGAAGAGGCGGCGTTGTGCGAGGAGATGTTCCGAACACCGTCGCCAACAAGAGAAGGACGAGCCGGCCGTCCTCGTGAAGCGTGAGCACCCGAGCAGCGCTGTAGCGGTCGACGCGGCGAGGCACGAGCGCTTGGACCGCGCGGCGGTGTCTGACTCGGCAGCCGCGACCTGTGATTTGTGGTCGGCGTTTGACTCGATGACGCGGCGGAAGGATACTCTTGATGGACTGAAGCTATAATCCGGCGACGAGCACTATTGGGCCGTGAGCTCTTCTTCTTCCTCCTCTCCTCCTCTTGATCCATGTCCATCCTCCATTCTTGTTTCATGCTGTTTCTTGATTTGATTCTGCTCATCGTTCGTGACGACGCATGCGTGCAGTTGGTTGGGTTCACAGCGGCGCTGGTGTTCGCCGCGGCCGGGATCTGGTTCGTCGTGTTCGGCGTCGCTTGCCGCCGCGTACGTAATTTCTCCGGTCACCTCGCCGCCGGTGAGTAAACTAACCACCGCGCCATTGTTGCAGCATGGGGTACATGACGGGCAGGGGCAGCGAGCCAGGTGAGTATCTTGGCGATGGAGCGCTTCTTTCTGTTGTCTCTTCCTCCTCCTCGCTTTTGCTTCAACCAACGTTGGCAGTGGCGAAGCTAGAGCAAAACAGAGGGTGGTGCACCACTATAGTAGCGATATACTACCATGTTCGAAAATGATATACGTACGACCTACCATGTTTTATCAAAGAACATTATGGTAAACAATACTAAAACCATTGATTTCAGTATCTACATTAACATGAACGAGTGATATAAGAACGAAAACTTAGCGGTAAATTATAAAACTACTTGCCAAAATGGGAATTCCTAATGACGATAGTTATCAGCGCAGTGTACTGAAGAAGTTAAGATTAAAATCACAACCAATAGGTTGCCAAAATTGGAGAATTACTCGTCCAACATCAGCATCTCAAGAAAAAAAAAAGACAAAACAACTTAATTTTTCGTTTGAAATTATCGAAAAAATGGAATGAAACTATGAAAGCAAATTGCAAAACTTTCTTTTGACGTCACCCCTTGCCTGCTACGATTAATAGGTGATAAGACCATAGGCTGCGGCTGGCCACCGAGTGCATTCTGTTTCACCATGAAGTAGTTAACAGCGCTGCTATGCAGGGCAAATTTGTCAACTAAACATGCTGCACCACAAGAAAATCCTCATGGCTGTGTGCTTTCTCTGTTGGCCTTGTTACCTTTGCTCGGCCTGATGGTCTGCTTGGGGGTACACATTGTTGGGATGAGGGGGGTGCATATATGGTGGAGATGGGGTAACCATAGCTAAAACTTTTCTCTTACCCGGGTGCCTAGGAACCCCCATAGCTATATGTAGCTTCGCCCCTGAACGTTGGTCATAGCGGTACCAACGGCGTCGTCGAGACTTAGCGGTGGTCCTCGCTTGTGACGGTGACGAGGTGGTGGAGGTCGGAGAGAAATATCGGCCGGAAGGGTATTTTGGTCAGCCCGGGTGTGAAATTAGGTGGAAATGGAGAGAATTGGTCCAAATGGCAAAACAAATGTTTGGTATCGGTTGGAAGTAGCATTTTAACGACGCCATTCCGTGGAATGGCATTGTAGCGAAACCCACTCATGACAGTGGCTTAATGTCCAATTTATCGTTCGAGAGAAGGGGTTGCATGCAAAACGATGTGTGCACTACACATGATTAATGAAGTAATAGTTATTTTTTTTAAAAAAATGGATTAATATGATTTTTTAAAACAACTTTCGTATAGAAAATAAATACACTGTTTAATAGTTTGAAAAGCGTGCACGCGGAAAATAAGAGAGATGAGTTGGGAAAGTGAGGTAAAGAACTCAGCCTTTGTGAGTTAACTGCAATCGATATGCCACATCAACAGAAACCACTAGAGAAATCGATTTGCACTGATTTTTAAAGATGACGTCGACTGATTTTTAAATATGAGGAAGACGTCATATCTGGTTTTACGGTTGAGGGAGAGAGAAGAATAGAGTCGAGTCACTCGACCAGTAGCAAGACATGAGGAACACTAAATAGACTTATTTCCTTTTGATAGAGATTCGGCCCGCCGTCAAACACGTGGTCGCGGCCCACCACAAGTCCACCACGGGCGAGGCGAGCCCAGGCGTCCAGCCCCATCACTCCGCCCAGGCTTCCAGGAGGCAGCAGTAGCACGCGATTCCAGTGTGCGCGTGTGCCCAGATCCCACCCGCCCCCACGCCGCCGCGGCCATGGATCCGCCGCCGCGGCCGCGCCCCCACCGCGTCGCCGTCCTCCTCCTCCTCCTCCTAGCCTCCTCCCCGGCCGCCCGCGCCTGGAAGAAGGACGAGTTCCGCAACTGCAACCAGACCCCCTTCTGCAAGCGCGCGCGCACCCGCGCCCCGCACTCGCTCGACGCGCCGCTCTCCCTCGACGCCGCCTCGCTCGCCGTCGCCACCGACGGCTCCCTCACCGCCTCGCTCTCCCACCCGTCCCGCCTCCGCCCGCTCCTGCTCCGCCTCTCCGCGCTGCCCCCGCACGCGCTCCGCCTCCAGATCGACGAGGACTACTCGTCCAACACGCCGCCGCACCGCCGCTTCCAGGTCCCCGACGTGCTCCTCCCGGACGTCGAGGCGCGCACGCTCCACCTCCCGCAGCCCAAGACCTCCGCCGCCGGCGTCTCCACCTTCGCGCTGTCCTCCGACGTCGACGTCGTCGTCAAGCACGATCCGTTCGAGCTGACCGTCCGCCGCGCCGGCTCGGGGGCTCCCGTCCTCTCCTTCAACTCCCACGGCCTCTTCGACTTCGAGCCGCTGCAGGAGTCCAAGCAGGAGGGCGAGACCTGGGAGGAGCAATTCCGGAGCCACACCGACACGCGCCCACGCGGCCCGCAGTCCATCACCTTCGACGTCTCCTTCTATGGCGCCGATTTCGTCTACGGCCTCCCCGAGCACGGCTCCACCTCGCTCGCCCTCCGCCCCACCCGCGGCCCCGGGGCCGAGGAGTCCGAGCCCTATCGCCTCTTCAACCTCGACGTGTTTGAGTATCTCCACGAGTCGCCTTTCGGGTTGTATGGGTCAATTCCCTTCATGATCGCGCACGGTGATGGTCCGTCCTCAGGGTTCTTCTGGCTAAACGCCGCGGAGATGCAGATCGATGTGCTTGCACCAGGGTGGGATGGAGCCTCGTCCACAGAGAATGGGCGGATCGACACGCTATGGATGGCCGAGGCTGGTGTTGTTGATGCCTTCTTCTTCGTTGGGTCTGAGCCGAAGGATGTGATCAAGCAGTACATCAGTGTCACAGGCACACCCTCGATGCCACAGCAGTTTGCGGTGGCGTATCACCAGTGCCGCTGGAACTACCGTGATGAGGAGGATGTTGCCGGAGTGGATTCTGGGTTTGATGAGCATGATATTCCATATGATGTGCTCTGGCTTGACATTGAACACACAGATGGCAAGCGGTACTTTACATGGGATCATTCAGCATTTCCTAACCCAGAGGTGATGCAAGGGAAGATAGCAGATAAGGGGAGGAAGATGGTCACCATTGTAGACCCACATATCAAGCGAGACAGTTCGTTCCACCTCCACGAGGAAGCTACTGCTAAGGGATACTATGTGAAAGATGCGACTGGGAAAGACTTCGATGGGTGGTGCTGGCCTGGGGCATCGTCATATCCTGACATGTTAAACCCTGAGATACGAGAGTGGTGGGCTGACAAGTTCTCCTATGAAAACTACAAGGGATCAACTCCAACATTGTATATCTGGAATGACATGAATGAACCATCAGTCTTCAATGGCCCTGAGGTATGCAACTGTATTGCACAATCTCATTCATTATGTTGTGACGATAAAGTAATCAACACAATTGAAACATCTTGCATGTGGACCAATCTTATTTAAATATGCTTCTTTGAATAGGTAACCATGCCAAGGGATGCAGTACATTACGGGGATGTTGAGCACAGAGAACTGCACAACGCCTACGGATACTACTTCCATATGGCTACAGCAGATGGACTTCTTAAGAGAGGTGAAGGGAAAGACAGGCCCTTCGTTCTGTCAAGGGCCTTCTTTGCTGGAAGTCAACGGTATGGAGCAATTTGGACGGGCGACAACTCTGCAGATTGGGACCACCTTAAATCTTCTATTCCGATGGTTTTAACTCTTGGTCTTACTGGCATGACTTTCTCTGGTGGGTGGACATTCCTGAAAGCTTCACATCAATAATGTTTATTTCGGATGGCTTTCTAACAGTTGGAGCTTTGACAGGTGCGGACATTGGTGGATTCTTTGGCAACCCAGAACCTGATCTTTTGGTGCGTTGGTACCAAGTAGGAGCATTTTATCCTTTCTTTAGAGGTCATGCTCATCATGACACCAAGAGACGCGAGCCATGGTTATTTGGGTAAGCCTCATAGGCTCATACTAAACTTTGTGGAGTTTGGTTTACACTCCCGTTTTCTAAATTCTAAAAGGTTGATAATTTCCCTAAAAAAATGCTATACTTGAGGAAAATCAATCACCATGATTTGACCTCACTATGATCTAAACTTGCATTTGAGAAATTTAATTTGGGAAGCACAAATGATAATGTAATTATTTCCAAGACTAACATATTCTCCATACTTGCTACAGAGAGCGAAGAACTGCTCTCATGAGGGAGGCAATTCATATGCGATATTCTTTGCTGCCATACTATTACACACTGTTCAGAGAGGCTAGTGTAACTGGTGTTCCTGTGATGCGTCCTTTATGGTTAGAATTTCCTGATGACAAAGAGACATATAATAATGGTGAGGCTTTTATGGTTGGGCCAAGCCTTTTAGCACAAGGAATTTATGAAGAGGTAAGTCATACCACATATGTTTTTCATTATTAATTTATATTTTGCCAAAACATGTGTTTAATATAGTATGACTTCTTGCAGGGCCAGAAATCAGTGTCAGTGTACCTTCCTGGAGAGGAGTTATGGTATGACTTGAGAAATGGATCTCCATACAAGGGTGGTGTGTCACACAAGCTAGAAGTTTCAGAAGATAGCATTCCCAGTTTCCAAAGGGCAGGCGCAATTGTGCCAAGAAAGGATAGATTCAGGCGCAGTTCTACTCAGATGGTGAATGATCCATATACCCTGGTATGTTTAAACCTGTTCAGTATATGGTTTCTTCTTTGATTTCATTTGGCAACTTATAATTTCATTGATTTGATGTGCAAATAGCCATGAATATGTTAACTATATGCCTGGTGTCTCTTTATTCTCTTACTAAATGAAAGTTATATGTGCACCTTTCTTAGCTACTAGCTATTCCCACTAGTTTCTGTTACTATGATGCACCCGATGTCATTTTTTGAATGTTTGTTGAAAGTACTACAATTTTGGCCTTTTGGACAAAGGCTGCTGTGATTTCATTGCTTGAGTTGAGCATTATTATATGCAAATGCAAAATCTAGGCATGCATACCTGCTATATGTATGAGTCTACCGATCTGTTTAGAGTTGCTACATTCTTAAAGTATGTCCAGACTCGAGAGAGACTAGCTAACTGTTTTATTTTGCAATGATCAGGTGATAGCGCTCAATAGCTCAAGTGCGGCAGAAGGCGAGCTTTATGTGGATGATGGGAAGAGTTATGATTATCAGCAAGGGGCATTCATCCATCGTCGTTTTGTATTTGCAGACAATAAGCTAACTTCCATGAATATCGCACCCAAAAATCTTGGAAACAAGAAATTTTCGACCGAGTGCGTGATTGAAAGAATTATAATCCTTGGGGTATCATCGGGATCAAAGAAGGCTATTGTTGAACCTGGAAATCATGAAGTGGATATTGAATTGGGGCCTATTAGTCTACGAAGCGGTTCGAGCTCTGTTGCACCAACAGTACGAAAGCCCAATGTTCGAGTTGTAGATGATTGGACTATAAGGATAGCATGAGATATATCCATTCACATCTGAAGCCTGATGCTTATTTTCATCGCTCTCAGGTCATAAAATTAGGCTAGAAGCGTAGTGCTGCCTTGCTCAATGTGGTCTGTGGAAGCGCAAAATTTTATATTTTGATGGCCTCAAAGATTTACCATGTAACTGGTACGCGTGCTGTTTTTACTATCTACTTCAAATTTTGATATAATTTGAGACAGAAATTGCTGATGTACATCTGTAGCTTTGACACTGGTTTGTGTACCACGATGCATGAGATGTGAAATTCTTGAGTATATACTTTTGTCTCTAAATGTTTGTTAGTCTTTCTGGAATGCTTCTAGCCAAACATTCTTAGTTTTGAGCTTTAGTTCAACGAATTAAAATGTATTCAGGTTGCATCAATGTGTTAATATTACTGGATCAATTGGGAAGTTTGGCTTTACGAAATTAGTGGTTAATATAGTACTAGTACTACTACTTCTGTGTCAGTTCCATTGCCCCGAATGTTCGCACAAGGATTTTAAATTTCACGAACGGAGTTTTATTTCGATATATGTGTATACAATTTTTTTTTTAAAAAAAGCGTGGGCTATATGTGCCCTACCTCTAAACAAGTTCGGAAAGGGTCAAGTTTGTGTTATTTACAAACTGCAACAGCTTGGATGGCTAGATGGTTTGCTCAATAAGCAACTCAATGCAACTGAAGTACTGAACATCCGTGATAGGGATCAGGGCAAGCTAGATAAAATTTCATCAGGATCTTAACAGAAAGTTTAAGCAGATTTCTCATCAGTCTCAGTGTTTGCATCACTAACAACATGGTTCCCAAGCTGGCCGGCCTAATTCTGGCTGACTTTTCGCCCCCTGTCCGTAGCCCTTGATATTACTTGGTAGGATACTTGGTAGCCTCACTCACTCTGCATATGTCACTGTTTCGTTTAACAAGGACATATATTGCCACAAAATAAATTATTAGACAGACAACAAACAAGAGACCAGATGATCCAATGTACTACTAATTAATGTATAATACTTCAATATCATATATCACAGAAACAATTGCCATCGCCGGCACACAACAAACACCAAAGAACGGTGTATCCTCTCCCCCACAATGAGTCAGATACGATCCCGATTCACGAAGCAATAAACTCGACACCACGACATGCGCTAAGAACTGTACTTATTTTTAATTACATGAGAGCTAGTACTAGTATGCATGGCTATCTACCAGCAAAACGCTGAGGATTAATAATAATCGCCATGAGAAGTTGAAAACCCATCACTTCCGGAGGAACACCCATGGCCCCCTTGCTGCCCCCATTCTGCAGATAGAGCAGAAGTAATTAGCAACCTAGTATATGATGAATCCTAAAGGCTAAGAGCTAAGAGCTACTGAAGAAATGGCTGCAATGAAGAGCGGATAAGGCTGTAGTATATCCTATACTGATATACCTCCAAGTGCTAGCTATGGTCCTCAGGCTCATGTAGATCGTTAATGCGATCCATATACCGATGAATCCGTTATGAGCAGAAAGGTATACTAGGCAGGGTATGGAGATAGCAGCCACACCAACCTGGAGATTTTCATTAGAGCATTGATTCATTGTTAGGAAGATTTTCAGAGATGAAATGTTCCAGGGAATATTCAGAGCTCATATGTGTGAAGAAAGGGATTTACCATGGAGTAAGCTGAGTATGTGTAGTCTGATGCTCCGAAGTTGATGCCATCGAACACGAAGGCTAGTGAATTTATCGTCTGTGTGCCAGCGACAAACTGAACCCCAAAACAAAGCTATCAGTCAATGTCTGAATCTTGGAAAATAGTTAAACATGTTGCTACCCTCTGAACATCTTGACAGATATTCTTACAGGAATGCCTTTGTGAATGACATCGATCACGTCGATGTCCTTTGTGAAAATTCCAGCCCCAAACTTCATGCCAACCCCAAGCACAACAGTGAGACCCATGCCAAGAACAATGCTCAGCTGCAAGGTGATGAGAACAGTACTGTTAGCATGATCCCTGTTGCTCGCAGTAGAAAGGAGAAGTGACAGGAGCAAGATTCTGAAATATCAAACTGTGACTGACCTGTAGTACACGAGATGTCGCAACAACAACCTTGCCTTTATCATTCTTGGCGAATGCGCTTGCAAGAACTGCCTGCAACCATGAGGAAAATTACAGATCGATGAACAACCGAACACAGCTGAAAGTCTGAAACAGCTGCTCTATGAACACATATATGAGATTAGACATATATGAGATTAGGACATGGTAATCTGACCTGCCCAGCGACGGCAAGTCCATCAGCAAGAAGAGATGTGGCGAGCCAGAGCTGGCAGCAGATCTGGAAGGCCGCCATGATGGTAGGTCCATGGCGAGCGGCTAACGACGACGCCAGCGTGACGCAGAAAGTCACTGCCACAACCCTTGCAAGCAGCAGGAACCCTGAAAAAAAAAGAGAGACTTCAGTATCATTCTCAAGGTTCAGTTAAGGAGATGTTATCCAGTTTCAGTATCCCAATGGTATCTCACCGCATCCAAGAAACCGCCCAAATTTGAGGGATTTAAGGCTAGGTGGGATAACATCAACTTGCCGGATGAGCCGACACAGCAGTATCATCGTTATCAGGTACCTGCAATAACGAGAAGTGAGAAAAGTTAGGAGAAATTGATCAATGAAATGAAATGCAGGAGCTGTAGATGATGCTGAAACTGGTGGTAATACACTGAAACTTACTGAGAAATGACATGGGCAACTGCTGCGCCAGTGACACCCATGTGACAAACAAACATCAAAATTGGGTCTAGTATGATGTTTGCTGCATCTCCAACCACTGAAAGAAACAAGAAACGTTAGCAATGTCAGGCACATTAAACTTCAAATATTCTTCCTGACTGTAATCAAAGTTGATATCCAACCAAAATAAGGACATGATCAGTAGATGTTCTTACCAGTGGCATACAATGGTGTCTTTGTGTCTTTGAAACCACGGAAAACACCCTGCATGGCCAGAGACAGTAATACGGCGGGAGCACCAAGTGATCTGATTGTTAGGTAGCGAACTGCAGGCCTTAGCATTGGTGAATCCTGAAAATGTTGTGATGTAAACAAAAAATGAGTTAGGATCAAGGAGTCACACAAAGTACACGAGTAACTGAAGCTTAAAGAATGAGATAAAGGAAATAGTACTTACATTCTTGACACCCATGATATTCAATACAAATTTTGCTGAAAAGACCAGGAAGACAGCCTGAAGTAGCCCAAGAAATGAGCCAACTATTACTGCTGATGTCACAGAAGGTATGTACTTTCTCTTGCACCCTTGATCGGAGGGATTTGTACACTCGGTGGGAATACATGAATTGACACATTCTACCTTATCAGGACCTGGAAACAAAGTTTGACAAAATAAACAAATAGCGAGTTCAGATTTGTGGTGAATTAAGGCGGTGTTCTTTTCTCCTGCAGATGAAGATGAAGATTAAGATTAAGTTTTTTATGCAAAACGAGGTGGTATTAACGTATGATTGATTGAGTTTTAATTATTACAAACTTAAAAAATAGATTCGCATGATATTTTAGAGCAACTTCCATATATAAAGTTTTCGCACGAAACACACCGTTTAGATGTTTGAAAAGTGTGCAACGAAAATCTTAATCTTCATCCAACTCTGGTTGGATAAAAGAACGGGGCCTAAGTTACTGCTATTCAAAATTCTGAAACTCAAAAATGTTCCGACAAATCAGTACCAGATACAGGCAGATTGTTGGTTTCTGAATCCACAGGAGAAGCTTTCTCCAGATCTTGGCTGCTGTTTTCTTCTATACATTTACTGATGATAGCGTCTTCTTCAGCCACAAATGATGTTGTAACGCTAACAAGGGGGTAAATACAGACTTTGGATACTTGGTTAAATATGGCAATTGAAACACCAACAGCAGCTATCTCCACCGAACCTGACCAAATCAATTGTACAAATATTTCACGGCATTAAGTTTCAGATCAACAGCAGCTGCTTGTTTTCTGAAAACAAATTGATCCTCCAAACTATTCCTTTGAAATAACTTCAACACGCAAAAGCAATCTAAATATGCTTATCAGACATACTAAAAGTGAACAACTATATGAATTTTGTGTAAAGAAAAGGGAGCATATTAAAAATAGGAAAGAAGAAAATAGAGATACCATGACATATTTGACGAAAAGGAAACAGATGGACTGTTTGTTGTAAAAGACAAAACAAAAAGGATGAACTCAGCATGTACCTGACCAACCAATTGTAATGAGATAAAAAGGATGAACTCAGCATGCAAATGAAAACTCAGAAACGACATTTTGCAATACTTAAAGAAACAAATAAAAACTAGTATTGTCAACAGAAACCCATCATATGACAAGAAGAATACCGTTACATTAAAAGCTCTTATATAAGAAAAATATATATCTAACTGGACTGGAGGATATAAATAAGAAAATTACAATAAAACCTCCAATATAAATACATATAAAAAAACATATATCTGACTTGATCAAAGGATAGAAAGAACAAAATGGAACATTATGGCATCAGTAACAGCTACATGGAGTCATGCAGGTAAGATCTTATTGACTTGTCAATATTGACAAAAGACAAGAATCGGCTAGGCACCATTAGCAAACATGAATGAATAATTCGAGAGCACATTTGTTGGAAGTATTTGGCGTTCGGCACCCACTTATTCAATTGGCCACCCATATATACAAATGAAAACGACATTGCCGCTCTTAAAAAAATGGAAAGGGACATCCCTGTACTAAGTTGGTTACACTGCCAAACTTACCAAAATGGAAATGAAGTATAAAGTACCAACAAGCTCGATATATTTGTAAAATCAATTGTATGATTTGTCTGATAATTAGCACTGACATTTGGAAGAAATCCCTCTGTATGACTTATCTATACCGAGCAAATTAAGTATGAACACTGTGTTGATGGAACTTACTAAACAGGTGAACAAGATGCAGCCATGGCAACGTCAGAGAAATCATACATGTCAGGGTGACGCATGCTCACCTAAGCGGCCGATGAACGCTGTGTCTACCAAGGAAGCAAGCGGATCCGCCGCCAGAGCCAGCGACGCCGGCACGGCAATGCGCAACACCTCTGATCCGAGCTCGTCAAGCTTGAACACGCTCCTGTGTGGTGGTGCAACACAAGAATGAGCCATGGTGCAAGAGAGATTATGAGAAATGGAAGCGATTTGTTACTGCCATGGTAATAGCAGAGGACGAACCAACCTGATGTTCATGACGAAGAGGTAGAGCCCCACCCTCCTCGGCCAGCCGGACAATGCGGCTGGCGCCGGCAGATCCTCCGGCGCCGCCGCAGCCGCCGCCGTCTTCTCCTCCGCGCCGGCGGCACCGTTCATCGTCAGCGCCGCGTCGGGGACGACGACGGCGGCCGCACGCTTCTCGGCCGTACTGCTCGCTGCAACAGCAGCAGCAGCTGCTGTGACCTCCTCCATCTTCTTCAGACCAGCCATGCCGGTGCCGGGCGGGGAAACGTACGTGTTCTGCTCTTGTCTGAGGCGGAGCTGTACGTGCTCGCGGTGCTCACAGCCAAGCAGAGAGCCAGACGCGCCCGTACTTATACCGGCCTCTCTCAGAGGCAGCGAGGCGCTCGCTCCGCTTATCACGACGTCAGCAGCTGCGACAGGGGCAACACGGCAGAGGACGATCAGCAGACGACGACGTCGGCGAGAGGTGTGCCAGAGGCCACCGGCGGTAACGTGTCTACCGGTGCCAGTCGGTTACAACCAACGAAATCCGTACGCCCCCCCTCTCGCACGCGCGTGAGGATGCAAGCAACGGGCGGAAAACAGAAAGCACGGCGGCGGCGGCGGCAGCGGCACAGGGGGGACGCGTCGCAGCGTAAGCTTAAGCGTAAGCGAGCGCGCCCTGTGCGAGGCAACGAGGCGTGCGCGGGTCGCGCTTAAATAACCGCGCGCGCGTCCTCCGGCCGGCGCCCGTCAAAATCTGCCAGGTTGCACGGTGCGAGGGGCTAATTCTACTGCTAGCACACTAGCTAGGCGGGAACGCGAGTACGTGACCCGAGGCCGCGCCGTCGGCCCGGGAAAACGTACGTAGTAACATTATGGTAGAGGATCCTCATCCGGGGTGCACCAGCGAGCGCGCGCCGCGCAGCCATCCGTTGCGTGCGGACGGAGTTGGGTGGCAGGGGGTGATGCGTATTGTATTGATGGCGGCTGTTACGCCTGCGTGGTCTAAAGGCGCAACGGACGCCGGCGTCAGTGTCGACCGACCCGGTCGGCGCCCGGCAGACGGCAGCCGCTCACCATGCCGCCGTTACAGAGGCTCGAACGAAGCTGTCAGCATGCCTGCCTGCCTGCCTGTCCGTCACCTACTCGATCACTTGTACTGCTGTGGCGATCGGTGATAGCCACAGGTTTGCCGGTGAGCAGCATGGGCTGGGTGACTGGGTCAGCTTAATTTGAGAGATTTAATCAGGACCTTGTTTTGACCAAAAGAGGATGAAGAGATTGGTGAGGTTCCATGGACTCTGCTTTTCAGTTACACCTGATTTCTCGTACAGTTTATTATTATCATCATCATCATTATTATTTGGGTAAGAGAAGGTTGGAGGCTTTGGGCACCTAAGAAAAAGTATGGAAATATGAAGATAGCACTATAGCAGGAGAGTGACCGATTGGACAGTTCCTCTCTTTCCAGCCACCTTTCAGGGTAGGTTACAAAGTTACTATCATCATATAATAAGTGGTTTCTAATGTAAGAACGATTTAGTGGTCTGTAATTTTCTAACATGTTAAAATTTGGTAATGCTAAAATTTAATTTAGTTCATACCAAATAGCTCTTATACAAAATCTATATTCTCTATAATATGAGCATTTACTCATATCTTATTATCCCACAGGACTTAAAATTCTGCATCAAACTAAATAACACCTTCTCCATTTCTACCCTACCAAAATTTGGCAGGGTAGAGAACCAAACCTTATAATATATGTTTATATTTTAAAGCATGCATAGTTACATTTGTTACTCTAATGCATATGGCTGAAAACAAAACCGTACTTGTTACACCAATATGATAGTAGCACACTAGCACTATAATATGACCCATAGTCAACTGTATATACATTTTCTATTTTACTCACGTAATTTCCCATACTTAGAAAAACATGATAAGAAAACATATAAAGAGAAACTTCCACTGTTTTTTAGGAGGGGAAGGGTTGCATTAGATTCAAAACTCTATTGGAACTTTATATATTTGGCAGCATCTAACAATAAACGTTAAATTTGTGATCAAAATAATGATTCTTGGATTATTAGTGCCAAACGAGTTACTGGCCAAACTTTATAGGTGCTTTTAACTTCCTCCCTAGTGGGAGATTCGTTATTTTTCTCTATTATTGGTCAGAATAACATTGGGTAGACTTTTTACCTATCTTCTTATCTCCACTATCTTAAAAGCGGAGTTATTCTCCTTTCATCCCCTCCTCTCAATGCACGCGGGACGTCCATATTCAAAAAGTAACCACTGTTCTTCTCTAATTATATGGGCCTGGCTCGTAACTTACGAGCTCCCAATCTATCCATAATTATATTGGTTTGACCATTACAACGTACGAGCATGTAACTAATAGCATTATAAAAAGGGAGTTAGGTAACGAAAATGTTAAATAAATTCTTACAATTAATCCTAAAATCAAATTCTAAACTTCAATATCAGCTTCAGCTTGTAGGAAAACGTTATACCGGTTATGCTCTTCAATCTTATCTGAACTTTCTTATTTGCTAAATATATATGGAGAGTTATAGCTTTGCACTATTGACTTCGAATCTCCGCGCTAGTGTCCTTCACATTCTGTTCTTCTGCTGAACTTCAGGAGGAAAATAAACGAGACAACCTACCACTCTTAAGTCTTATCCAATCTTCAAAATGGAAAAAAAAAACTTGTATCCATGTGCTTTTGCCATCGCGGATAGTACGTTGGGATATTTTGCAGAATAAGGGTGATCAACTGATCACTATGTGTTCATAAGTCGAAATGCCGAACAACTTCGTCTTGTTGCTAAAGAAGGTTTTTGCTTGTGGACAATGCTAAGCTCCGGGGTAGGTTCAGAAAGCTGAAGTGAAGTGGACTGATGATGTTTTGGTGGTAGGTTCTGATGCTGATATATACAACTCCATCGCCTTAATTACCGGCTTACCGTATTACAGCTTTCCTTTTCTTGAGTCGCTGTTGATATGGTTCAGGGTCAGAAAGGAACGTAAGAAAAGCTGAATCAGGGATTGTTTCCTGAATCGAATGTGTGTTACGCAGCAAACTCCTGTTTTGGTTGCCCTGTTGGAATGTAACTGAACTTGTGATGCAACAGAATTTAAGCTTAGAATGTTCTCCTAGCTCTAAAAGGGACATTGCTGTGTATATGAAAGGATACGTTTCCTATAATTTTGCAAGAAACCGAATAAATCCTCCAGAAAATTTTCAGTCCAGACAGGGAGACTATACTACTGGAGATTCGATCAACGCGGCAAGGGAGCATGGGAAGAAGGCCAGCACTAAGGGGATTTGGCTCCATTGCTGACTAGGCTTTAGGATGGGTAAGGTCTTGATAAAAATTCAGTATGAAGATTCTCCGAGAAGGTGGCCTCGGATGTTGGGATGACAAATGGAATTCTTCAGATTCATTGAACCTAGTTCCTTTATCTTCCTATAGATGGGTGGATTAATGCGAGGTTTGAATCAATTTCACGCGGCAAGAAATGGACTGATTAACGCGAGTTGATTGATGCATCAGTGTCTTTTTGTAGTATCAGTGACGCATGTGTAGAATCAACCCATTTTGATGCGAGGTCCAACGAAATTTTGCCATAAATCTACAACCGAATGATTTGCAGTAGGGTAGAGGCTCTCTCGAGGTGTGTAGTTGCATCTCGTCTCGTTCCATCTGGCCTTCCATTTCTCTCTTCTTTCTCTACTAGTATAGCTTATTAGGATCCTCCCGTTCTTCAAGGTGGGAGGATGAAAAGATATGATCCTCTTGGTTTCCCCCATTGTGGTCTAGTGTTTCCTTCCTCACTCTTTCCAATGACAGTGAAGAAAAGAGAACAGCTACCACCCTATGTCCAAATTCAGATATGAAATATATGTATGCTTGTCTTGCAGCTATGGCTGAAATGTATGGTTTGGATATTTGAAAATAAGAATGTTACCTACAATTTTGCCACCGAAAGATACTTTCACAGCACTACAATTCTGTAACTTTTTTTCGGGTATACAGCCATAAACTTTGAACCGACAAAAGGCAGTCTTCTGTGACTATATGCATCGAGTTAAGCATGAAACATAAACTATGTGTTGGTCACCACCGAGTCTCCTACTAGTGCCAGGATAATGTTACTGGTCAGCCACTAGCAGTTTGTAATAAGCATGGACATAATTTACTCCAATGATACAAGAGTTAGTGGAGTGCTCTTTCTCAATTTGATTGGCAGGAGTAGTACCTTGCTAAGTCTGGCCTTAATTTTGTGGATCGAAGTGGAGTCTCTGTACTATAATACGCTAGCTGCAAAAGATACATGAATGTAAAACTTGGGTTAAACTAGGTTTTGCATGCAGATCTCCTTCCAAGAAAGAGCAAAGTTAACAAAACATTGCCAAGTTAACAAAATATCGCCAAGCATCCTTAAAAATTCTAACAAATGATATCGTATTCTTTTGCATCTTAGTTCCCCATAAAGTTTACACATAAAAGAAAATTCCTCTACTAGGTAGATGATTTAACATTCTTTGTTGAAAGATCAGATGCTTCAATGCTTGTCATCAGAGATTCAGAGTTCCACACGGCATGTAACAGTATGATTTCCACACTTCATTTTAGATTTTTTTTTCTTTTAATTTTGGCAACAGATTAAGTTGCATGGTCGATAATAGAGAGTCCTATTGTGTTGTCAAGTTGTATTCAGCTGGTGAACGAGATGAGATTTCTCTCGTTCTCCGTGCACACGCTTCCCGAACTAGTAAACAGTATATTTTTTATAAAAATTTCCAATAGGAAAGTTGCTTTAAAAAATCATAATAATCCATTTTTGAAATTTAAAACAGTTAATAATTAATTAATCATGCGCTAATATATCACCTTATTTTGTGTGTTTTCTTAATCTTCTCTTTTTTTCTCCTCTCAAACACACCTGCGAGAGAGCACCAAAATAAAATTGGCAGGAACTAACACATTGACAAAACAATAACTAAACTATCTGAATAGTGAATATGATTAAGGTATCACTTTTTTTTTGTTTACTTTTTTTTTTGGAAAAGTACATATATCACAATCTGCATATATCTTCAACAAAAGCAATGAAATGCGAGCTGCGTCATGACCATTAATTAAGCGACTTTGGAGGACTAATACCATCTAGATAGATCGTGCCTGCTAACTTTTGAGTGTTTGGTCGAAATGAACGGAGGAAAGGCACTACAATATACAGACCGGCCCATTGACGTGCACCACTTACCAAGATAGTTTTTTCTTTTTTTATAATATATAACACCAACAAGATGAACGTACTTTATATCGGGAGACAAACAACCTTAGAAACTTCTTGCAGTAAGAATTAAATTCTCTCATATTGGTCACTTGATAGGTAATAAATTCCCTCAAAACTAAATCATATGATCAGATACTTAATTAACTTATGATAAATTAATGGGGCACCAAACACCAGTCATACGGTGACAGTTGTTTGTGTATAACTCTCTACTCGGTAGGATTCAAATATAACTGGCTTTAAGAGATTTTGTGTTCTTTTAGCTTCTGTTAATGAGTTACTGCTCCCTTTGGTAAAAAAAAAAACTATCATGTCGTTTTAGATCCGTTTCAAGTGAAATTTTAAAACATTGAGCATTAATATTTTCTTGATATTTAGATGTTTAGAAAATTAACATATTTATTCGATGTATGATAACCATATAAGTGTGATAAATAAATATTTACGATCCGAAGGAGTAGTAATATATAGTCCAGTACTATGGCTCTGCTACCGCAACCGCTACAGTTGCGGCAGTTCAAACCGGCTGCCCGCTGCAGCCATTCACAACTGTTGTAGCCGCAGCTAGCGCAACTGAATGCAGCCTATTCGTATATGTTCTCAGTGGTTGCCATTGGTTGATTACTTGCTCTATTATTATAATGATGTACTATGTCATTACACATTAGAGATCCAGTGATAATGGTATGTGGTTTCAACCTAAGATCACGTGTTCGATCTCCAACATGTCATAATTTCATCTTAAAAAAAATGTTTGGAGGGACGTCTCTCCCTCTAAATCTCGTTTTCTTTAATGTCATTACACATTACTTGGATTAGAAAACGACATACGGCATCATCACCAGTCGGCGGTCACAGTCAGTAGCATTCATGTAGACGAGCGCTCGTACGTGACTGGTGATCATCAGTACATACGCGGTGCTTGAGATCGACGTGCACACATGTATGTATGTCACGTATAATCGCTAGGGCACCGCACTAAGTTCGAAGAAGCGCTCGAGTTTAGCAGTCCAGTGCTAATAACCTGACCGGCTATGTGTGCTGGAGTTGGGAGTTTGATCGCAACGGCCGCCAGCAAAAGCAACGGCCAGCTGATCCAAGTATCCAACGCACCCAAAGCAAACCAAGCAGAAGACCATGCAATCGCATGCACGCATAAACGGAGGAAACGAGCGGAGCAGAGCGAAGCAGAGCAGCGCGCGTACCTGAACCAAACCTGGCTCGAAACAGGTAGGTAGCCCGCGCAGCACAAGTGCTCAGCAACCACACGCGCGCTGTACCGCACTGCACTCTCTTGCACTTGCACGGACCTGCACCGATCGACGAGTACGCTGCCGCTTCTGCTGCTGCTGCTTCTCTCGGTTTGCCGATCTCGCGTATAAATAGCCCGTAAAAGCGCTCGCGCCGCGCGCGCTGGCGGCTTAGGGGACCCGACCCAGTGGAATACCCATCCATCTGTTTGGCAAAAACTTCACTCGTTATTTACATATCATCACTTAAATAATTATAAAAAATAAAAAATATATTAATATGTGATATATCACTTCACAAACATCATATTCAAATTCAACTTTTACATATCGTAATAAAAAAATAAATTAAACCACAACTAGTTACAGCAAATTTAGTTTCCTTGTTGTGATAGGTAGAAGTTGAATTATATGAATGTTTATACAGTGATATATCATATGTTAAAATATCTTCTTAATTTTTTTTATAAGATTTAAATGACATGTCAACAATAAAGCGGCATCTCCTCGTGTGTTTAAAATCCACTGCTCTTCTGTTTGTCCGCCTCTGCGTGTTAGCTCCGTCGCTCGGCTAAGGGCGCCGGCCGCCAGTCGGTCTCTCTCGGTTTGGAGTCCAGGCGGGAGTCGCAATAGCGGGGAGGAAATGGTTTGTTTAGTCGCACGCCGCGTGGCCTCCACGAGCCCCGACCGTACGCACTGTACGTCCGACTGTCCGCCGTGTCACCGCGGCATTGGCACGATGCGTGTGCTGCACGCCGCCTGTGCGTGCTACGGCATATGCGCATCGGTACGTACACACCACGCCGGGCTTTTTCACGATATGGTTTTCTTTTACCCTCGGCGATAGAGAGCACTCCGGCTGGCAAATGGAAAGCCTGGCCCACTTACGCTTATCCAAGCCCACGTCGCAGTTTACGCGATCCCGACCGGAGTTCATCGTGATGGCGACCGGAGCAGGAGCTTTGCTTAGCTTCTCCAGCTGCATGCGTGCCGCCCATCATCTCCATAATGCTTATGCTTACAAGTTAAAATTTAAATTTTTAATCTTAAATTTGACGTTGATTTTAGGATTTTATTTTCATCATAATTTATTTTTCAGCATTTACTTTTTAGATTCCTAAGAACATATATATAAAAGTTTTGTTCACAAATTATTTTTCGTTTGTAAATATGCCAACGATGAAGCAACTAGTGATCGAGACCCCCTTTGTTTTTCTATGTGCGTCGGGCTGATAATGGAGAGGAGCACTTGTGTGTATAAGGTTTACAAAACCAACGATAACCGGTGGTTTTCGTGAAAACCGACCACACAAAACAGCTTGAAAACACAAACCGATCTATTTTATAGGAAAAGTACTAAGAAAAGACAAAGTATTATTATTATTATTGGTTTAGAGGCAGAACCAGCTCATAGGCAAGGTCTAGAGAAATTTGCGGTGTTAACGGAGTCGCTAACCACCCCAACCAAGAAAAATTCTCGATAAAGATGGGTTTAGATTAAACCGGCTAGTGGAGCTGGCTTAAAGATAAAACCAACCTCTAATCCAATTTAGATCGATATGGGGTAAACACCCGTCTCGTGGGCGAATTGGAAGGTTTACGGGCTCTATAAATAGTATTGCACTCTTGCAGTAAAGACGGACGATTTACGACAAAAATCGATAAAAAAAATGTATCTGCCTCTGCCTTGGTTGTAAAATAAAGTAGTCAAAAATTTACAAATGTTTTTCGTGAAGACAAAAAACCGTTGTGGTCTTGTTTTTCTGGATGATTCAGTTCTGTAAGCCCTGCTTTACATTGGCATGAGATTTTTCTTCATTAACATATTTTTTTTAAGAAAAAGGATAAGGTGTTTATGCAATTTGATGTAGAAGAAAAGAGTCGATCCATTTTTTTAAAATGGACCGAAAACCTAACAACGACACAAATTGTTGGCATCCATTTTGGCCAACACAAACTTACCTAAAAAATTACGGTGTTAACGGAGTTGCCTAACCACCTTGATGGAGAAAAAACTCAAAATCAAACTAGGTTTTAGAGATTAAACCGGCTAGCAGAGCCGATTTAAAGATCAGACCAGTCTCTAGTACGATTTAGATTGATTTGAAGATAACCACACATCTCGTGGATGAATTGAAAGGTTTACTGGACATGTCTACAAAGGATATCGCACTCTCGCAACAAAAAAGAATAATTTACGTCACAATTTGATCACACTATACTATGGATGTGGATTTTCATCCCTCGAGGGGATATCCCCTCGTTGTTTGCATGTCATCTAAATAGTTATCAAAAAATTTGAAAAAAAAAATGACAACATAGATTAATACGAAATATATCACTCCACAAACATGCAAGATCAAATTCAACTTCTACAAGTTGCAACAAAAATAACAAACTAAACTGAAAATAGTTATCGCACATTCGTAACTATATTTGTTATTTTTGTTACAACTTATAGAAGTTGAATTTAAACTTTCAAGTTTGTGGAGTGATATATTTCATATTAATCTATATTGCCAATTTTTTATATTTTTTATGACTATTTAGATGACATGCACGAAACGAGAGTATATCTCCTCGAGGAATGATTTCACTTTCCCACTGTACTATATATATTATCTGTAGAGGCCAAATCTAGTTGTCAACAGAAACCAGCAAAAACGTAACCTTGACACGATCATCATGGATGAACCATATGGATCCTACGACACCATCACCGACTCTACTAGAGTTGCATGATATATGCAGAGGAATTGATCGACCATTCTCTAGCTGCATAGCTGATAATGTACTACTTGATTAGTGCAGAGGAGTAGTACATAATGTCATTATTACTTAATTACTTTTTCCATGTCAAAATGAAATCAACTTACTTTTAATGGGAAAGTTAGGTTACGCCGACCGGAGCGTACGGGGAAAAAGCGTCAGTCAGCCGCCGGTGCGTAGGTAGTGAGGCCGGGTGCACGCGCCTTTGCAATTTCTCTTTCGCTGTTTGTTGAGGCATACGTGCACCTAGCTAGGTAGGAGCACGCACTATGGAAGAATTGCCCTTTGATAAGTTGATCTGAGGATTACGGCTGTTTAGTTCCTTTTAAAGTTGGAAGTTTGAGTTGAAATTGGTACGATGTAACTGAAAAGTTATGTGTATGATATATTGATGTGATGGAAAAAGTTGGAAGTTTGGATCTAAGCACAGCCTACTTTTGGTCTCAATGCACGGAAGAAAAGAGTCCGGCACTGGCAGTTGTGTGAAAAAAACAATGGGCGAGTGGCTGCTTGCGCATGAATCCATGGAAGATTGTACTGTCAGTGGTGTGAACGGCACCGTTCGTGCTGCCCAATCTAGCTCGCCACCGACGACGACGACGACGGACACTCGATCGATGTCTCGGACAGTGAAGCACAGTCGTCCAGACTCCAGAAGAAGCTTGTTGATAGTCGCTGTTAATATCCTCATGGAAACGAATTGCGAGAAAGCGCGTAATGCTTTGCTAAAGATGGACTGACAGCTTCGAGTTCGAAAGCTTGATGTTTATTTTGTCGGTAGGTAGGAGGTGTTTCTGTACTTTGCTTAAATAGTGTGAACATTTCCACTTAGCATCTCCTGATATCTAGTGTTGTACAGTGCACTTGTGCAGTTCTGTTGTTACCATGTTATTCAGGGATCTAATCATCTCGTGGGCTCTATACATGGTACACCGCGTGCACTTGGAACAACAAAACGCCAAAAGGAGTAACGAGGTGACATCCACCGCACGCATGAGCGAACAAGGGGGCGGAAGAAAATTGGGCAGAAAAGCAATTTCATTGTCGCGTTATCTCTGTTAAGTAAACCTCTTTTATGTCCACGTCAAGAAAGTAACCTCTTTTTGTATTGGAAGAACCTGTCCTAGCAAGCTGCAATTTGCAACCCACAAAACGTAACCCAACCCCAAAGTACCAAGACCTAATCATCTTCTGGTTTGGACTAAATACAGGATTTGTTTTCTCCGATGATCCGATCATCTTCTGTATCTGAGAAGATGTGCGCTTCTCTCTATAGGAAGGGAAATTTTAATTTTATCAGTGGCTCTTGCTGCTTGTCTCCATATGTTTTCTCATGTGGACCTGTGTTGTAGGCTTGTACTAGCATGCAGTGCCACTGCCACTATCCTAATAACAAGTCCAAGGGGGGTGTTACAAATGAACACTATGTGTTAATCTACATTATTACTAGTTAGTGTAAGCCCCATTTTTATTTAGAGAAACACTCTGAACCATCCATCAACACTCAGACTAAAAATTTTAAAAGTTGATCTGGTTTTTACAGACTGGTGGTTGCAAGGCCATATAGGTATGATCAATACAACTTATTTTTTCAATGATGGTTTTGCTGACAGTGATCAACCTTAAGATGGTTTTTTTTTGTCATGTGGGCAACTTTTTCATTAATTTTGATTAATGGGAATCTAAATAAGATGATCGAGGGCTCGAGGATGAATGGAGAAGAAATAAGAGTGCAGAAAAAAAAAGGAGGGAGAGAAGTATGAAAGAGGCTAACATTTTTTGTGTGAGCATCCTTGATGTATAATCCATAGCTGTCTAGTTTAAGGGAAGGTAATATTGCTTTTCAAATTGTATAGTTTTGAATGGATTGATATCCTCTGACGTAAAATTAAAGAGACGTAATTTTCTAAAAAAAAAAGTTAAAGAGACGTGTAGTCATTGATATATGGGTCCCACTGTTCATGAGCCTACGTTCCAGTGACCACGTCGGGGGAGTTCACGTTAGAGGATCCCTTTCCATTTTAAATCACCCCCTCCTTTCTTTTGCTATCCAAGCGTTGCTCTATTATGAATCAGTGTACACCTCAAGCTCTTTCAAATTTTCTCTGAATTTAAAGCATATATAGTTAGGATGTGTTCTTCAGCTTCCCAACTCACTCCCGCTCTCGCTTTTTGCGCGCGCACTTTCTAAACTGTTAAACCGGTACATTTTTGCAGAAAATTTTCTACACGAAATTTGCTTTAAAAAATCATATTAATCTTTTTTTAAAAAATAGCTAATACTTAATTAATTATGCGCTAATGAGTCGCTCCGTTTTGCGTGCAATGCACAATGGTTCCCAACTAGGAAGAACGAACACGGCCTTAATGGAGTTATTAGAGGAGCAAATAAAGAAACACAAACAAATATAAGCATTTCTAGATTATTTAGCAAAGTTAAAGTTCAAGAACTATAGTATCTCTAGTTAAATGAGCAGTCAGAAGGTGGTTAGGAGTAAAATGGGAAAAAATAAATAAGAGGCGTTTGATAGAACAATTAGTATTTTAGAAATACTTATATTATTTACAAAATCCTATCTTCCTATATAGTTGATACCCACTAAGAGACATTTACTCCTATAAAGTAAAGCATGCAAGAAGCTACATCATCAATAATTTTAAGCCATCGGATCGCATTAGTATAGAGTTATCAATCATTGGATCAAGAAACTACTCATCCATCTAATGTAATCATTGATTATTCATCCAGTCACCTCCCTTTAACTCATAATCATCCGTGCCATTCTGCACAAAATACTATATTTTTTCCTCCCAAGTCCTCAAAGATAATGCAAACTTATCTCATTTTTTCAAATACAACTCAAATTATTACATAAGATGTGAGTTTTGTTTTTTATAAACAATTGGATAACATACAGTAACCCAAACATATTTTTAAAACAAGCTTGCGATAAAGCAATAAGGTGCAATCTATCTAATTGTGACAATATCCAGATTGTGCATGAAAATAACTTTCATATGTCACAAGAATACACAATGACGTTTAAAAAAACAAAACATGAACTATATTATAATAACAGAGGCTATATATGAAGCCACATTATCATTTATTTTGTATATATATAGAGTTACATCTAATCATTTAAAATATTGATTTTATTTGACGATAAAACTAGCAAATCCCACGGCAAGGCGCGGGGTGCCAACTCCGCAATTTTGACAAATTGACCCTTTCAAAAAACTTATTTCAAGCATAAACCGTACCAAAAACTAATTTCAGGAATAGGCCGTGACCTCAGTGCCAATCCTAATAGCGCTAAGATAAAATGTCTCAGCGCCACTTCCATTGGCGCTAACATCTCATCCGACATGATATGCACTTTAAATTTTGTGGAAGCTCCAAGACTAATGCAACTGTAGAATAGCCCAGTGGTAGTGTCATAGGGTAGCTAGCCAAGGCGCAAGAGTTCGATTCCTGTCTCCCACTCATTTTAATAATTTTTCTTTTGAATGTTGACGTGCTTTTTACAACTCATTTTATTTTTAAACTTGGAATTATAATTTAAGATCTCAAATTTGTTTATTCCAAATTCAACATAAAATAAATTTTATACACAAGTCACATTAATACAACCAGCATTAAGAAGGATAGGTAAGAAAAAACAAGGATTCCTACCACTTAATCTTAATCTTAATTTATTGTATCTTCCCGGAGTTACCTCTCCGGGAATTCTTTTTTAATTATTCCTGTATATTACTTTTTTATCCTTTTAATTGATAATATTATTTTATTGGAAATCGTGTAAAGATTATTTGGATTTAATACAGCTACTTGTGCAAGGATAATACTTTATGTATCCGCGTTGCTGCGTTTATCCGACTGATCCATGCCATGGATCGAGTGATCAAATCAGAATTGATTTACCTGAATTCAGTGAGCCTTCGCGGAGAACTCTATCAGTTTCTATTTGGTTACCGAAGCTAAGTGGACCCGAGCTGTTGATGACCGAATAGAAAGGTTTATTTTCAATGGCAAGTCCTAGATGATGTAGGCTTTGCTTATCCTGGCCAACCACAAAGTACGCATCTCATGTGCTAAGAAGGATAGGTACGAACTCTATCAGTTTCTATTTGGTTACCGAAGCTAAATGGACCCGTGCTAAGAAGGATAGGTACGAACTCTATCAGTTTCTATTTGGTTACCGAAGCTAAATGGATCTGAGCTGTTGATGACCGAATAGAAAGGTTTATTTTCAATGGCAAGTCCTAGATGATGTAGGCTTTGCTTATCCTGGCCAACCACAAAGTACGCATCTCATGTGCTAAGAAGGATAGGTAAGAAAACAAGGAAAAAATTACTAACATGGTTCGAACCGGGAACCTGAATGTTCAAACTGAAGGGGAATACCACCAGGCTAGGTTCACTTCTTTGTTCAATGGGGCCCATGCACATTTGAGTACTGACATCAGCGCCAATACACATGGCGCTGAGCTTCTGGTACCTAGTGGTTTCGTGAAACAAAGCGCCAACGGTGGTGGCGCTGAGACGTTCTACCTCAGCGCCAATTTCGATGGCGCTGAGGTCACAACCTATTTCTGAAATTAGTTTTTGGCACGACTTATTCTTGAAATAAGTTTTTTAAAAGGGTTAATTTGTCAAAATTGCGGGTGCCAACTAGTTAAAGTCATATAGTAAATGCTAATGGGGAACAGAGGGAGTACCGAGTACACATTTTTCTTGGCTTTAATTCTGCGTGGTCATTTTTACGAGGATATACCTTGTCACTTTTAACAACAAAACTTATTGGATATGTGTTTGTTGGAGATGCTAGATAGGGCTGGACAGGAAGCTCATGGCTCGTTAGCTCGCTCGGCTCGGCTCGTTTGATTTTCCTAACGAGCCGAGCTGGCATTTCAGCTCGTTAGAGATAACGAGCCAGCTCGAGCTGACTCACGAGCCGCTCGCGAGCCTTAACGAGCCAGGGCACATGAGCTGTGGCCTGTGGGCCTTAAAGAATGGAGGCCCAATAGCCCAACTCGGTAGCCAAAAAAACCCTAGTGACCTTGACCTCGATCCCGATCTGGCGACTGGCGTGCGTGGCCGATTCTAATCCATCCCCTTCTTTCGTTCTCATCCTCTCCGCCGCCAGCCACCAGTCCACCACCACTATCCGCCAGCCGCCGCCGGCCGCCACCGCCAAGCGTCGTCGCCAAGCGCTGCCGCCAGCCACCACCAGCCAAGCGCCACCAAGCGCCGCCGACGCCAAGCGCCACCAGCCAGCTGCCAGCCGCCGTCACCACGCCACCGAAGGAGCGGCGCCGCCGCTGCATCCAACCACTCCTCAGCCACCATCCACCGAAGGAACTCGACGCCACCCTCCGCCACTCTCTGCGCCATCGCCAGCACCAGCATCCACGCCGCTGCGCGAGGCCAATCTCGTCGGCAGCTACAGGTGCAGGTTTGGCTCGCGAGCCTAACAAGCCAGCTCGAGCTTTCAAACGAGCCGAGCCGAGCTGGGTTTCTAGCTCGTTAGGATAACGAGCCGAGCCGAGCCGAGCCGGCTCGTTATCCTAATGAGCTAGACCGAGCCGAGCCGAGTTGGCTCGCCATCCACCCCTAATGCTAGAGATGTAAATCATTTTCATTTAAAAAAATAAAACAATATGTTCAAGAAATTAAACATGCTAGATCACCCAAAAGCTGACAGTGCTAGTTATTTGGGCGGCAAATTCCAACATGCCCAGTCAAACAGACCGGAACTATAAGAATCATGTACGGTCAGGAAGGTTACTAACTCTAGAATTTATGATTTCCACTAAACCCAATTAATTATCCCAAGCAGATTCGTCAAAACAAAAACGCCTGCACATATTGATTTCAATTAATCTCACCCTGTTTAAATGTGACTAAAACTTTTAAATCCCTATCACATCGGATGTTTGGACACTAATTATAAATATTAACCGTAGACTATTAATAAAACCCATCTATAATCTTGGACTAATTCGCGAGATGAATCTATTGAGTCTAATTAATCCATGATTAGTTTATGTAATGCTACATTAAACATTCTCTAATTATGGATTAATTAGGTTAAAAAATTTGTCTCGCAAATTAGATTTCATTTATGTAATTAGTTTTGTAAGTAGTCTATATTTAATACTCTAAATTAGTGTCTAACTAAAGTTAAGTCACTAGATCCAAACACCACCCTGACCAATATCCCCATGAGATAGTAAGGGTCTGTTTGGGGGAGCTTTAAATTCTGAGAAACAGTTGTTTGGTAGCCAGTTTCTAAGAATCTGGAAAAGCTCTAAAACCCAGCTTCTCCAGCTTCTGGCTTCTTAGTTCATTTTTCAGAATCTGTAACTACAGATTCTCAGAAGCTGTAACTACAGATTCTCAGAAGCTGTAGACTGTTTAGAGCAGCTTCTAGCAGAAGCAGCTTTTGAGAAAAGCTGCAGCTAGGAAAAGCTCTCCCAAACAGGGCATAAGACGGACAGGTGACACCCCACGAGGATAGGAAGAGCAGTGACCAACGCCCTACTAGTGACATAAGATCGGCCCCACCTGTCAGTTGCATGGCAGGCATGCAATGCAAGAGTCATGGACAGATGATCCTCACCAAGAACATGTATGCTAGCTCGTCCCTTCCTCTCCTCCATCATCAGTAAATCACTGGGTTAATCTCTCCTCTCTTAAGTTCTAGCTACTGCTACAATATGGGTCCCAGGAAGCTTCATCTGGCCTCCATTTCTGCCCTATCAATCTTTCTCTACGTGTTTGCTCACACCAATTCAGCACAAGCCTTCCCCGTCGCTGACGGCACGTACCCTCCTGAAGCTGAAGGCCCAGCAGCAGAAAGTTCAGACATGGACGAGCAGCTGGAGCTCACCCCTGGACCGCAGCCGAGGGTCGTCGACGTCGACGACTACAGAGCGAGAGCCGACGCCGGCGACCACACGGAGGTGAACGAGACCACCCCAACTGCTCTGCTCTCTCGAATTGCCCGAGATTTCTGCCGCAATGCTGCCCCGTGTGGCAAGAATTCTCTGAACTTCCCTGACGCAGCTGATGCGCGTTACAGGCGTTTCTTCAGGCCTGGAAGGAGGCCTGCAACTCCTCCGATTACCCATCCGTGCTCCTCGTGCCGGAGGGGAAGACATACCTCCTGATGCCTGTAAGCTTCAATGGCCCCTGCAGAGCCACCACGATCACTGCAACGGTGAGTGCTCCGATTGCTGTTCAACTACTCATCAGGATGAATCCTCCATTGCTGTTCAGATCATGACGTTTCAGAGTTCAGATAAGGGGGACGCTGGAGGCTCCATCGAATCGATCGGTTTGGCTCGATCGCGATCTGCAGGAATGGATCACGTTCGACAACATCGATCACCTCCGTGTCCTCGGCGGCGGGACGCTCAATGGCAATGGACACCAATGGTGGATCAACTCTTGCAAGACCAACAGATCCATGGTACTTGCCCACTGTACTCGCTTACCTCTCATGAACATTTCCTCGACATGATCCTGGCTCACTCACAAAACTCCATTTTTTTCTTTTCTTTCAACCACGGATCAGAGATGCGTCACCGGCCCAACGGTACCCTGTTTGATCAGAAAATCTTTGCATACTTGCATTGCATGAGCAATGTGTTTCAGCTGGCGAACTGCAGGCGCTGTACTTCAGGAGGTGCAACCATCTGGTCGTGGAGGGCCTCCAGATCAGGGACAGCATGCAGATGCACGTCGTGATCGCCTACTCCTGGAGAGTGCTGGTCTCGAGGCTGCTCATCACGGCGCCAGGATGGAGCCCCAACACCGACGGCATCCACGTATCCAACAGCAGGGAAGTGTTGATGAGTGGCTGCATCATCAGCACAGGTACCAATGGCTGTTTATGTAGATTTTCAGAATGTATCACAAATGACTTTATTTATCTGCAAATGTTGTTCATCACTCTGTTGTACTTTTGTGTTGTGAGTTGGCGTAGGTGATGACTGCATATCAATTGTGACCGGCTCTATGTTTATACGGGCAACTGGGATATTTTGTGGACCAGGCCATGGCATAAGGTACGTTATCTCTAGTAAGACTCTGAACTTGTATCTTTCTCTCTATACTCGCCTATTTCCATACACAATTGGGATTTGTGGTGTATAATGGTCCACGCTGGGATTCAGGGCTACACGTTTCATACTTGTCGTTTCCAGTAATAATCAATTTATTAAAAACATGCAGTAGACTGTAGATAGGGTTTTCTGATGTTTTATTGGCATTGGTCGCTGTTGCAGCATTGGTAGTCTAGGAGCAAACAAATCATGGGCCCATGTTTCCGACGTGCTGGTGGAGAAAGCTACACTGGTGGGCACTACCAACGGTGTGCGGATCAAAACTTGGCAGGTAATGCACGTCCACCTTGCTGGATTGGCTTGGATGGAAAATTGGAGAAATATTCTGAATTTGAAACAGCATTGTTCTCAGAGTCACCCTCTTGAACCTTCTGCTCCCAGAAAAGAGCGATGGCGTTGATTTCCAAATTCAACAACGCCTTGACAGATGAATTTAATTATAACTACATCCAAGAACAGCTAAGGGCCTGTTTGGTTTCCAGGGACTTATTTCAAGTTCCTGTCACATCAGATATTTAGACACTAATTTAGAGTATTAAACATACACTAATTACAAAACCCATTCCATAACTTTGGACTAATTCGCGAGACGAATCTTTTGAGTCTAATTACGCCATGATTTTGACAATGTGATGCTACAGTAAACTTTTGATAATTATGGATTAATTAGGCTTAAAAAATTCGTCTCGCGGATTAGCTCTCATTTATAAAATTAGTTTTTTACTAGTCTATGTTTAATACTCCAAATTAGCGTCCAAACATCCGATGTGACATGGGCTAAAAAGTTTTAGCCCCATCTAAACACCCCCTAAATATATAATGTAGTACTACGAAATTATACTAGTTATAAGCAGTACTTGTAGTTGTAATATTGTAGTATCTTGCTAATGCATTTCGTACATATAAGAGGTAATCTAATATAGATAAATCCACTCTCCTTATATAGTGCTATATACTCCTATATTTCTATAGGTCATATAGAAAAGGTAGTTCCAAAAGCGAAATGTGGTATTGTTGGAAAATAAGAAATTTTGTGCCTAACTGCTGAAATGTTTGTTCCTGCAATTTATGCTTCCCCTCTTATCATCCTTTTGACAGGGAGGAGATGGCCATGCAGAAAGGATTACCTTTCAAGATATAACAATGCACAACGTCACTAACCCGGTGATTATCGATCAGAATTACTGTGACTCCATGACACCATGTCATGAACAGGTACTATCCTACAATAACTCCGTCTCTTCTTCTAGAGACCGATCAGCCAAGCCCCAGTTAACAGTGTTTGGTAAAACATTTTGCAGGGATCAGCTGTCGCCATAAATAACATACGCTACAGGAACATACGTGGAACTAGTTCTTCAAAAGTCGCCATCAACTTCGTCTGCAGCAACTCTGTCCATTGTGATGGCATAGTGATGCAGGATGTTTCTTTGGTTGGAGAAGGATCCTACGTTTCTTGTTCGTACATGAATGCTAGAGTGGTAGAGTTGGGGTATAACTTCCCGTATTGCAGAGCGGAAATGTAGTGTATCTGTAGTACTGCAGAGCGGAAATATTATTCATTCTTTCGATAAATAATACTCCCTCCATTCTAAAATATAATAATTTTTAGTCCTTAGAATTTATCTTAAAATATAACAACTTCTTCACCAATATTCTCTTCCCAACCAATTATAATCCTCCACCATTCACTTTCCTCACCTACATCCACTACTCATCTAATCACAACCCTCCATCACTCACTTCTATCTACCTTCTTAATGTGTTCAACTCTAAAACTACTTACTCCCTCCGTCCCAAAAAAAGGCAAACCATGGGTTTCCGTGTCCAACTTTGACTGTCCGTCTTATATGAAATTTTTTTATAATTCGTATTTTTCATTGTTTGTTAGATGATAAAACATTATTAATATTTTATGCGTAACTTGTCTTTTTATTTTTTTTCATAATTTTTTCAAATAAGACGGACGGTCAAACGTTGGGCACGGAAACCAGTGTTTGTCTTTTTTTTGGACGGAGGGAGTATATTATAGGATAGAGGGAGTACTGGTATACAACCGAGAATGTGTACGTACTGTGACTAGACCTGTAAACAGCTAGTGCTTGTGGTTTTGCACAAATGAGATGAAACTGACACTACTAGGTGATAGTTGCCCTTGCACATATGCATTTCTTGCTTATAAAGGGCTGCTCCTAGTATTAAGATTTCAGTTTTCTAGTAGATACAAGTACCGATAGGTGCTAGTTGAACACATGCATTTCTTGCTTATAAAGTACGCCTACATCTTCCAACACTAGGGCTTACGGTGCGCGACCACTTGCTAAGTTAGGATATGATCCCCCTTATCCCAACGCAATCCGCTCTTGGTTTGTCGTACGTGGCACCCGTCGTCGCGTCCCAAAACGACTCTCGATCGAGCGTCGTAGCACTAGCAGCACTTCAAATTCGGTTGGTCTGGAGTAGTGTGTCGCTGTGCGTGCGTATACGTGCTGCGCCTGTGTGTCGCAGGACGTACAATTAGCCGGGACCCCAGCTCGCCGCTGTCATATCCTCGTCCTCCCACTGCCGATTCAAAACCAAACCTGCGCTTCCTGCCCGCAGTGCAGTGCAGCCTGCGTCGTGCTGCTGCTGCTGCTTCTGCTGCTCCACATGCGTCCAACTCCAAGAGGCCAACCGACCCCGTTACACCGCTCGCTCGGGTGCGCCCCCACATGTCACAGACCGCGCGGACGCACGCACGCAGCGACCGTTTTGAACTTGGCCTTGGGGTTGCCGCGGCCCGAGCCCGCGCACCGAGATGGCACGGACCTGTGTCGAAGCGGTATACTCCCTCCGTCCTAAAAAAAAGGCAAACCCTGAATTTTCGTGTCCAACTTTAACTGTCCGTCTTATATGAAATTTTTTTATAATTTATATTTTTATTATGGTTAGATGATCAAACATGATTAATATTTTATGCGTGACTTGTCTTTTTAATTTTTACCATAATTTTTTAAAATAAGACGGACGGTCAAACGTTAGACACGGAAACCAGGTTTCTCTTTTTTTGACTTAGGGAGTAGCGGGCACAGCGACCCGCTGACGCGCGCGGGCCCCGTGTGGCAGCCGCGGTGAATGAACGGGCGGCGGAGCCCGAGGCAGTATACGAGACACGGGACGAGGCGGGCGTGGAACGAGGCCAAGCAAAACGGCCGCGTCAACTACGGCCCGGACTCGAACCGATTTAAAATCGGCGCAGGGGGTCCCACGCCCGAGATAACGGCAGCCAGCCAGCCACCCACCCACCTCTGTTCTGCTTCTGCGTACCAGGCGCGCGGGTCGCGGCTGCCGCGCGCCCGCGCCTAACGACTCACGCGGCTCCAAGCGTCGCCGCCGGGAAGTTACTCTGCTGCGAGCGGCCTCGCTTGCTGCCCCCCTGCGTGCGGTGCGTGGCCGCGTGACACGCGGGCAGTTAGTGCTATGCCCGGGCGTCGCGCCGCGATGGCGCGGTCGCGTCGCGCACGGCCGGTAGCTCCTCTCCTAGTAGTAGACCACAATGCCTGACTTTGAGCTAGCTCTGTAGTACCGGCCTTGGTGTCGGAGGTTGGTCGCGCCGGCGCGTATTCTTGTTCCATTGCGCGCAGCTGTGGCTCGCACTGACCGCACGGGCTAACGTGTGGGTTTAAGTTCCAAGGTGTTGGCTGCTTATCAGCTTATGTGGTTGTTGGGGACTTCCTCTGTCCCATAAAAAACCAGCTTAAACAAATCTAGATATATCTCTATCTAGGTTTATTGTACTAGAATATGTCACGTTAGTACTAGGTTCGTTTTTTCGGGACGGAGAGAGTAGGTGTTTAGATTCAAAAAATTTTCGTCAAACTTCCAACTTTTCCGTCACATCAAATGTTTAGACACATGTATGAAGCATTAAATGTGGACGAAAAAAACCAATTGCACAGTTTGTATGTAAATTGTGAGACGAATCTTTTAAGCCTAATTACGCCATGATTTAACAATGTGATGCTATAGTAAATATTTGCTAATGACGGATTAATTAGGCTTAATAAATTCGTCTAGCAGTTTACATGCGGAATCTATAATTTATTTTATTATTAGTCTATATTTAATACTTTAAACGTGTGTACGTATGCTTTAAAATTTTTTTGGGCATACTATAAACTAAACACAGCCGGTTGCATGACATGAGTCCGGCGAATTAGTGTCGGCCTTCGTTGTCGTTGCTCTGAACTTCGTTCCTAGTACCAGTAAATGGCACCGTACTATTTGGGCAGATGAATTGTTATGCCAACGTACAATGACTTCATTGCTATGACTGTCGAGTGCCAAACAAACATTGGTAGTACTAAGTTGCATGAAAAAGGTGATCTAAGGGAGCGTTCGGCAGGAGGAGTTTATGAGTTAGTTTGTTTCATTTTTCGCGCGCACGCTTCCCGAACTACTAACGATGTGTTTTTTTTAAAAATTTTCTATATTAAAGTTGCTTTAAAAAATCATATTAATCTATTTTTGAAGTTTAAAATAGTTTATACTCAATTAATCATGTACTAATAGCTCACCTCGTTTTGTGTATCTTCCCAATCTTCTCTTTTCCCCTCCTCTCAAACTCACCCTTAGTCCTTAAACACATGTAAGTTAATTACAGTACTCTTGTGTTTACTAGCATCTGTATCAGATCACATGCATATCCAGATGCACTGCACGGCTATAGCATCTGTAATGTGCGACATCACGCCAAAAGAGCAGTAGTAATAGTTGTCTAAAAGCAAACTTAGCAAAGTGCTGTTTTTGAATCAAATGATTGCATTTGGCGCTACTACAGAAAAAAAAATCGCGCTTTGAACAGTACGGCAGATTACAGATTTACAGGTGCTGAATGAGCGCAGAGCACAGTAACTAATGGAGGAAAGAACGCATGGTCATGACATTTTTTAGGTGCCTGACTTCACCTTTATTTGCACACTATTTCTTGTGAACTGCGACACAGCCTGCTCTTTTTTTTAGTGTGTCTGTGCGGACTGTGCATATGTTGCAGATAAATACTACTCCTACAGTACTGTACACAGTCATCGACTGGAGTAGGAGTGCTCCGTGCTCGTGTATTGGACAGGCTCGTTTCAAATTGCAAGATGTTAGTACACGTACGGCTGGCTGCTTTCTATTGGCCACTTGGCAGTTTCCCATCCCTATAGTAGGAGTAGCCCGGAAACGCCGAAACTAGCAGCAGTTTTTGCACACGTCCATCAGTCGATCGATCATCCATCACCGGGGTAGTGATTGCGCAATCGTTGGTGGCATCGGCGGCCGTCAGTCCGGAGTCCGGACGGGGGAGGGGGGGCAGTCCGGTCATTTCGGCGCAAAGATCCTTTCAAACCGTGGCCTTTCCACGGAAAACGAGAAACACCGCCTCCCTTTCTTTCTTTCCCTTGTCGCGGCCCGAGCATTTTTGCCCGCATCGCCATCCACCCACCCTCTCCGACCAACACCTTCCTCACATCAAAAGCACCCGACCGTTGCCACCTAAGCCCGAGGAGAAAAGAGTGCGAGCGCCCACCTCGCCACGCCCACCTCCGCGGCCGCACGGTTTCTCTTCTCTTCTCCGGCGTCGCCGATGTCCGCGCGGCGGGCGGCGGCCAAGTGCCAGCACGAGCCGGCCACGCCGCCGGCGCCGCGGATCCTCAACATGCCGAGGAGGCCGGCGGGTGGCGGGAGGCCGACCCGGAGCGCCGGGCGCGCGCAGCAGCAGCAGCGGATGGCGGCGCCGGGGGCGGTCAACCTCGGCGCGCTGTTCGAGATGGAGCGGCGGGTGCGTGGGCTGGAGTCCGCGCCGGCGTCGCCGCCGCCCTACTCACGGGCCGCGCGGTCGCAGGAGGACGCCGGGGAGCAGGAGGAGAAGTGGCGGTTCCAGGCCGAGATCCTCCGCGCCGAGTGCAACTTCCTCCGGATGGAGCGCGAGGTCGCGCTGCGCAAGCTCGACCGCCACCGGGGACAGATGGAGGCCGCGCTCAAATCCGCCGTCGAAACGCTCGTCTCGGTATGACACGGACTGCTCCTCCTCCTCGTCCTCTTAAACCTATTGAGATCGCTCCTCTTCGTCTCGGTGTTTCTCGTTCGTGGCAAACTGTTTGCAGCTTGGTAATACTCGATCGTCCGGATGAAACAGGGGAGGAAGAAGATCGATGGGAGGGGCGACGTCGGCGTGGCGGCGGCGTTGGACGAGGGGATCGAGGACCTGGAGGAGATGATGGAGGATCTACGCGTGGAGAAGGAGAGCGGCAGGAGGGCAGTGAGCAGCAGGCGGGAGCTGCAGAGGAGCAACGGCAGGAACTTCGACCGCCAGGCGTCGTCGCTCCGCCGGCGCCTCGAGAAGATGCCACCGGCCGACGCCGAGCCCTGCGTCAAGGACATCCGCGAGATCGCGCTGCCCGTCGCACCGCAGTCGCCGCCGCCACCCGCCGAGCACAGCGACGTCGACGACGACCATTCCAACAGCCCCAACCTCTCTGACGTAAGCCCGATGCTCCCGATGAACACCTACACCGCGCGCGGCGATGCTGCTTCAAATGGCGTTTCTGTGTTGATCAATCAATAGACGTGTAACGTTGCGCCATGTACACGTTTTTCCAGGTGGAGATGCTGAGGATGAAGATGGAGGGCATGTCGAAGGGGATGCGGGAGAGGATGGCGGAGTACAGCCGCCGGCTGGAAGCCGTCGCCGGCGGCGACAACAACAACGCCGCCGACGATTGCCAGTCCAGGAAATGCGGCAGCCGTCACAGCCGAAAGCCGAGCGCGAGCAGCCAGAGGAGCTGGAGCGGCGGCAGCACCAATGCCGGCGCGTCCCGCGACACCGCCGCCTCGCACGGTCGCAGCCGCCACACCGTGGCGCCGGAGAAGCATCATCACCATCACCAGCAGCACAAGGTAAACATGAAAAAAAATAAATTCAAATTCGCTTTGCTTACTGTTCCATAACAGTGTTACGTTTAGTACGCTTACTTCTCAAGCTTTCTTAATTGCACAGCAATGCAAAAAAACTGTTGTTAATTTTGTCCTTGCTTTAGTACCAAGTGATGCCGATGCATGCATGGTTTAGCATTGGGCTCACCCGAATGTCGTTGACTTGAGGTGAGCACAACTGGTCAGCGGCTCAATCTTAACAACATTATTAATCCACGATTAGGTCGGTTTTGTCTCATACGGGAGAGATACTACTCCTAGGCAAGTTTTGAAATCGCCTAACAACGCAGTTGTGCTGTGGTGTGGGGATCACTTGCAGTTGCAGATGAGTAAATTGATCTGATCAACCAGGGGGTCCACAGATCTTTAGATTGGCTCGGTGCACTCGACACCTACGTTAATTCGGCTATGTTATTATACCTGCCTTTTTGGATTGATACCACTATGCTAGCGCTGTTAAACACTGTTGCTTTGGTGTGTGGATGGGACCAGCTCGTAAGAAGCATGGCCTTTGAGCCTTTCTAGTTTTTGCCTTCACCTCACTACTAGTCCTAGCTGTTTCAAAAAATGGCTTTACCATATGTTCCCCTGATTTGAAACCCCGTCAATGATTGCGAGTGGGCCCGGGGTGTCAGTGCCGGCGGCCGGCTGCGTCCATTGGCCGTGCTGGCAGGTGGTCCTGCCTGCGGGAGGACTAGCTCCTGGGGTGAGAGTTTATAGTTCTTTTTGTATTGCTCGTGCGACTTGTGACACGTGGGCCAATGAGAAGCTTTTAAATCCTTTGTTTTCAAACGGTCTGGGCCTGCAAATTGCGTATTTAAAGATCGTTGCTGTACTACTTATCTGCATTTTTATTCAAGAAGTGGATACCAGTCACTTGGGGCTGAAGCATGCATGACAAATTCCATGCTTGATTGTTCTGAATGACGCGAACGATACGGCCATGTTTGAATGCATGCAAGGCATCTTCTATTGGAAGTGCAAGTTTGAAAAGTGGTAAGGAGCTGAACTTAAATTGAAGGCAGCAAAGCACATGCTGGTGCAGGAATAGAAGTTAGTAAGCACTTTAGGCAAAGGGATACTCGTATGAAAAAAGCCTAGCCACAAGCAGGCACATGTGATGCATCTGGGCCAAAGTACGACCATTGAATAAGGAGACGATGCCCCCACAACAAGAAAGCTAAGCCTTTTCCTGGCTAACGTGAAAAGTCTGGGCCAGGCCCAGGGACCAGGGCATGTGCTCATGGCGAGTAGCTTTCGCAATGAGTTATATGGCATCAGCAGCGTTTGCCTTCTGAATGTTTACAGCTGAAGTAGCCTTTGCCTTTGTAGAGTGGAAGTTGGTTGAGGTAGCTGTGAGCCTGTGAATAGTTATACCGTATAGTACATTGGTATGAAATCCTTGTTGTTGAGGAATGAAGAGGAACTACTGCATTCACATATTGAGCCGTTTGTAATTATGAGAAAGCTATGATACTCAGTATCTAGGCTTCAGTGTGGACAAGGAACAATGCCGTCGAATTGGGTCGACCCATACTGGGCAAATGTTAATGGCGTTCTCTCACCAATCCATTCTGCCTTGCATAAATGCTTGGTGTTTCTTGCATAGATTTTGTACTCTGGATAGTTTGTCCTGTTAGGCTAAAATGATGTCACATATGCTGAATTCTATTCAATGCAGCTCAACTTTTTTTTTTATGTTTTGTAACTGCTCTTTGTTTCCCTACAGATTATGTCTGAAGAGTGCAAAATGGTGGGTTCAGGAAGCTGCTGTGACTGCAGGGAAATCGTGGGGAAGATAATGGAGCAAGTAAGAACAGAATCAGAGCAATGGACTGAGATGCAAGACATGTTGGAGCAGGTCAGGTTAGAGATGCAAGAGCTGCAGTCTTCCAGAGATACATGGCAGCGTCGTGCTATTGCCTCTGACATCAGTCTACGCTCCCTAAATTCTCAAGTAAGTATAGCTTAAAAATGATATTGTTGCACTTATCGCATTTTAAGTGCATATTCTTGTATGTGATGGCTTCAGTGCACCAGACTGCTGCACTGAAATTATTTCACTTGCATGAACACAAATTTTGGTATGTTCAGACTGCAACCTTGTTCAGAGATTGTCAAGGCTGTTGTGCTGGCAGCCCTTTCATACTGCCTTTTTTTTTGAAAGATCACTTCAGTAGAATTGTGGGAGTATTTATCATGCCTCTATCTCTGGAACTAGGGTTAAGAAATGTTGGTTTAAACAGAGTATCCTTTCAAGTGAAGTATTTCTCTGTACTAGAAAATTTACTATTGACAATGGTCTCTTACCCTAGATTCAGAAGTAAATCAGTGCAGATATAGAATTCAATGCTGAACTTGTCTTTAAGCTCTAAACTGTACGTGCACTGCTTTGAGAATTTATGAGAAGCTGGCCCTACTCTGGTTCTTTAACTGTCTAGTTTGAACTGATGAATAAATGTTAACCTGGATTCAAGATCTAATTTACTCACTAGTTCCAGATCGAGTTAAACAAACCAGCATTTCTCAAGATGCATCACTAAGCATTGCACATATTCAGGATTCAGCTTTTCAGTCACCATATCCATTTTAGTCCTACTTCTCTGCCCAGTGAGAAGAGTCCAGCCTCTAAACTGTAAGCTTAACATTTGATAGGTGCTGGAGTGGAAACATCGCGCGCAGGTTTCCGAACAGCACGTGGAAGATCTGCAGAAGAAGATCTCGGAGCTGGAGAGCAAGCTGCACACATTCAAGGCCCATTTCCCCAGCCCAGGTCAGCCTAACCAAGAGTGGTCCGAAGCATGCAAGATGGAGAAGCCGATCAGAAGCAACAAGGCTCAGCACCCGCCCCGGCCGTCGCACGAGCCCGGCGGCGGCAGGGAGAAAGAGAAGCACGTCCTCATCTGCCGCGTGAAGCACTCGCCCAGCGTGGCCGCGAAGCGCCAGCCGTTCCAGGAGATCGGCAACATCAGCTTGCCACGGCACGCGCCGATGAAGCGCTGAGAGGAGGAGGAGGAGAGAGCTCGTTCGCTGGCCGCAGCCAAGGTTCCAGGCAGGAGTCTGAAGAGAGAATTCTGTCAGCTAATCTCGCATCTTCCAAGCTGCTTCGATCAATCAATATCTATATATCTACTAAATAAATAAATTATAACCCACTGATGTGCAATGACGGCTGACTTCTCGTCAGATCTGTAGTGAGTAGCAAGTAGAAGTAGCTGAGGTTTGAGACGGAGTTAAGATCCAGGTACAGTGTTGAGGAATAGGTATGATACGTATGTAGGCGGATGCTTCTTTTTTGCTGATATATGCAGTTTTGTTCCTGCTTCTTCCAATACCTGATCTGATGATGCTGCGTTAACTGCTCTCTTACATGACAAATCAACCACAACAAAATTGCAATACTCGAATTCTGAATCATGTTTAACACCAAACAAGCGTCAGTTTTATTGCCACTACAGAAACTTACAGTATATATGTTCATATATAGGAGTATATGCAACTACTGGAAAGATATACTGTGTCTAGCTAGTGATTGATCATGGAGATCCAGGCGCAATATGTGCACACGATCTTCTGAGAGATGTAGACGTAGACGGCGAAGGAGAAGCTCATGAGCGTGACGTCCTTCCAGTCCCCCTTCTGCTTGGGGCTCAGGCTCTCCCGCACCGCCCTCCCGGCCTTCGCCGCGTCGCCGAACACCCTCTCGGCCATGGCGGCGGCCCACCACGCGCTCTTCTTCCCTCCTCCTCCTCCTCCTCCTCCGCCGCCGCCGCCGCCGCCGCCACCGGCCGGCGATCCCGGCGGCTCGCTCGGCGAACTGCTTTGGCAGAGGAAGGACGATGATCTCGGCGGCCTAGACACGGCGTCGGCTCGTCGTCCTCGCGGGTGGCGGCTACCACGCATGAAAGGTACAGCAGCGGCGCCGATGGCGAGGAGGCGCAGGGGAGAAGCAGCCATGCATGGATGATCGGATCTCCAGAGGTGGGTGAGGCGTGTGGGGAAGCTGTGGATATTTTTTTCCAACAAGATGGAGAATTGGAGGGGATAAGTAGCTCCTGACTATGAGAGGAGGAGAAGGGCAAGACACTGAGACAGTGAGATGTATAATATAAGACGTACACAAATTTCAAGATTTAATTTTAAAAATATTTGACCACCAATTATTATAATATAAGTTAAACTTTATCTGCTAAAATTAATATTATTGGATTGATATTTAAATTTATTTTAAGATGGTTATAATTTTGTTGTAATAAACTTTATAGTACATGAGAAATTATAAGTCAAAGATTAGTTTCGAAGATTGTGCTAAGTTTGACCATGCCTTATATTATAGGAGGGAGGGTGTATGTCACTAAGTAGCTCCTAGCTAGAAGAAAATTACCTAGAACGAGAAAAAGGACAATATGCCACTCTATACATATGGTTTCAACAAAATGCTACTCATCAGGATGTATAGGATAAAATATCACTCTATATGTTGCCAACAGGATAGATTGCTACTTTTGAGAGTTTTGCTATTTTATTTTCTTTTCTCCTCATTTTCTTTCATGAAGTGACCAAAATACCCCCTGGGCTCACAATATAGAAAACATATCAAATCGAGCCGCTTCTCACATCGCCGCCTTGCGGTCGCCATCCTCCAGTGCAGCCCTCGCTGCGCGCGGCTAGTTCTGCTCCTCTTCCCAACACCGCTCGCCGCTCCTCCAGCTCAACTCCCCTCGCGCGCGAGTCTCCCTCCCCCACTCTAGTACAACAGAATATGCATATGGATCTGATATATTTTAGGGATGCACTTTTGTACAGAGAAAGTACAGAATATGCATGTGTGTACAGAATATGCATGTTTGTACAGAGAAAATAAAATAGCTAAAACTCTCAAAAGTGGCAATATATCCTGAAAGCAACATATAAAGTGGCATTTTATCCTATACATCCTAATGAGTGGCGTTTTTGTTGAAACCACATGTATAGGGTGGCATATTATCCTTTTTCTTAGAATGAGTTTCCACCATTGCAGACCCACAGTCACTGTTTTGGGTGGTTGTTAGGGCGTTCACAACGCGGCGTGTTGGCGTTCGGCTCAATCGTTCCCCAAGGAATATTCGCTACCACGTTCGCAACTCAATGGGGAAGGGACCCTTTGAATCGCAGGAATGAGAAAACGTAGGAATAGGAAAAATATAGGATTTTGATAGGAATGTAAATGTAAAATAGAGGATTGCAAAACACAGGAAAAACATAAGAATAGTTGTTTGATTGGAACGTAGGAATTAGATGAGAGATAAATAATCAAAAGAAAGTTTCCATGAGGTTCTACCTCATGTTAGAAATCCTCCAAAACTTACATGGCATTAGGCATTTCATAGGAATTTCATAGGATTCCATAGAATTCCTGTGAATTTTCTTTGTATCAAAAGGGGCCTAAGTGGGGGAGACTACAATAGTAGAGCTTGAGGGAGGTGAGCTCGAGGAAGGAGAAGAGGCAGGAGTTGAGCTTGTGGTGCATAAACTCGTACCGAAGGGTTAGCTGCAGGTACTGCAGGCCGCCGTGGAAGGCGGTATCGGACCAAGAGCGGTCATGCGTGGCGAGGCGAAAGGAGCGGATGACCGCGGTGTGGCGGAGGAGCAGCGTGTCCACGTCCAAGGCGCTGATGCCGGGGTTGTTGAGGAGATCGACGGTAGGGAGCGACTCCCGGCGGCGGTGCGATGCTCGGGACAACGCCGAGGTGTGGATCACCTCGTAGATATGGAGGCGGGATATGATGTTGTCAAGGACATCGAGGGGGAGCGACCCTAGCGTGTCTGGCGCCGATCTGCCACTACCTGCTCGGTGGCGGCGGTGACTGCACGTCGGCCATTTCCTTGCCCAAAATCCGTTCCCCGCCCGCGCACTTGGAAACCTAACCGTCCTCGGTGTAGTTGGTGTCGTGCTTTTGTTGCTTCCGACTTGTGGTGGCTCATAGGCGGTAGGTTTCCAAGCCGCTGACCACCGCCACCAATTCCGCTTCGTCCCAGTGCGAGCTCGGCAACTCGCTGCTAGCCACGCTGTTGCTGCCACTATTGCGGAGAAGGGGAACGAAAGGGGAGAGAGAAAAGGGAAGAGAAGAGGAGAGAGAGAGGATGATATATGGTCTCACACGCCGACTCAACGGTTACACTAGGTTAACAGATCACATGAGCAAAAGTCGCTCTTAAAACTATTAAAGGTGTTATTTTGTATCGGTTTTAATAGTTGAGAGTTCAAATATATCAGGTATTGTAATTGAGGGTTACAAATTAGATTGGACATATATTTGAGGTGGCCAAAGTAGACTTGTTCCAAAAATTTATAGGCTCATAATTTACGCCTGTTTTGGGCCAAATCCAGGCCTTACAAAGCAGGCCCGTAGTCCTACGTTTAGGGTTCGGTCCTGCTAACCGGTGTGTTAGGTTTCCTCCTTGTCTACCTCCAGCTCCTTCCTATCCGTCTCCTTTGGTTAGTGCCATTGGTAGCCCCGCTCGGCGACGCCGACGCGATTTCCTCTCCTCGCGCCTTACTGAATTCGAAACGAAATTGTAGATCATATAGCAGAGAGAGAGAGAGAGAGAGAGAGAGAGAGGAAGCAGACGCGGACCCCTTGATTTCTCGGCTAGATCTGAGATATCATCGCATCATGGGACTGCTGGGGTTGAATCGGCTCATGTCCATACAGCGGGAGCAGCGCTGTCGCCAAATCGAAGCCAGTAAGCCGCATGTTGGATCTGTGCTACTGCTATCTGCATCTTGTGTTTCCCCCCCTTTTTTTTTTTATGTGTTATATAACTTCTCCAATACAATTAAAGCTGGTTGCTACGCTTTATATCTTACAGAAAGACAGGACTCAGCCGCCACCAGTCTGTTCTTCCTTACAAAAATCCTCTTCTTGATGTGCTTGCTGTTTTTTCATGGTTTTTGTGAGCTTCAAAGCTAACCTTGTTACAAGCTTGTTCCTTTTTTTCACGATAGATGTTGTCATAGTTAGAGGAGCTGGGATTATCCACCCAAACACAAAATTTGGCATACTGTATTTTAATAGTGTGCGACTATATGAGGAGGTTGGACACTTGGACATGGAACTCACGGGGGGAGGAGAGCAGTGGTGGCTGAGAAAATAGGAATTCCACTTGCTGTCGGCTGATGAGCTCCACGGTATTAGAGAAAAAGTCACACCGTTTTGCAAAAGAATACCTCTGCTCAATTGGCGGAGTTTTTTTCCCATTAATATACTGTAGTAACAAGTTGCAGCTTAAAACAGTTACTAAGTAGGATAATGGATCATTGAATCTGTGTGTATTTCAGTGCTTTGATGCCTTCATCTGTTTGTTTTCTTCCAATTATATACACAATGTCATAACCATTGTGTGTTGCAGATCGTCTTCTTGCATCCACTGATAAAAGAAAGGGGTCTCCCTGCAAACAAGATAATTCCCGATGCAGCAAAAGAGAGAGATATTCTCAGCCAGACCTTCCGGAGGTACACCATAAAAACCAAACTGTCACAAAACGTGTCGTTTTGGACATACCTTTTCTCAAGCATTCAAAACTTTGAAAATAAATATCTTTATGATTTTTTGCTTGCATACATGGACTTGAATGTCTAAAAAAGTAATATCATAATCTTATCGTGTAGTCGTGTACTACAAATCTATTATAATGTAACTTAGTAGTCAATATTGTGTTTGAGAGACCATGTTGGTGTCCAAAACGGCATGCTTTTGTGAGCGGATGGAGTAAACTATACTAAAGTGTCACCATTGCTGCTCTAGCCACAACCACAAAGTGTTGGGTCAGTTCTAATAAAATAGAAATTCCTGAATGGATCTTGTAGTGCTGCAATCTTGTACTATCGTACTTTTTTATCGGCATAACAAATTCTTTATAAGCTATCGTGTACTTTAACTCCTGCAGATAACTGTTTGTTATGAGTCTTAGATTTCTAGTATCTTGATACGCAGTAGACTTCCCGAGCTATTTCACTTATTAACTAGCCATTTGGTCGTGCGTTGCACGACTTTAGATACCTGTAGAAAAGTTCTATATTTATGGGTCATAATATATCATATTATGAAATTGTCCCTTCCCTCAATCAGGGGTATCCAATTTTTCCTGTATTTTCATGTCTCGCATCTTTAGAAGCCTGCTCCAAGTTCGCATAAAAAGATGGCCCTGAAATTGACTTCAACAGGTGTTTTGAGAATTTTACTTCAGGCTCCATCTTGTTCCATGCTTGCCACAGCGCTATTGTTAAATCTGTATCTCATAACCGGATAAGAGTACAATCTGATCCATGCATCTCAAAATTAATGGGACACCTTCTGGTTTCTATGAAATCACAACCTGGAACATGGCAGGTGCAAAGGGCTAGGCATTCATCACAACCGCAACATAGGAGCAAACCTTTTGGTTCCTTTCGCCGTTTCTATAGGCGAGCTGGCTGGGTAAAGGAAGCCCAGTATACATATAAGCCCTGTAAACGTAGACCATAATATGATAATAGGATTAACTCTAAATTTATTTTTCTTAAAAAAACATACGACTTGGTAAATAGTTAGTTAGAACTAACCTATATTTGCAAGTAAGGTTCAAGTACCATGTTGAAGATCTTTTGGTTTCCAAAGTTCAGTCATCTCATCCAGTGGCTAGTACATGCTTATTCCACAATATTTTCTCATAAAATACACAATAATTTAATTTATGACATTGAAAGGGACCGGACAAACAATTAGTTAAATTCTGAATCTACGTGAAATCAACCATTAGTTTCTCGTGAAACTTATAATGGCACCATTAGACCATTGGGCCAACAAAATATTAAATCTAAAGTAGGTGCTTTCTAAAGTTGACTAATAATAATAATTATCATGCTTGCACAAGACGCAACCTAAATGTAGGTAGAATTTCACTTCCAGGTTGTTACATAGTATGCACTGTACTAAGCATTATAAGTTTGAAGTTGATAAGCAATCCACATGGTTGAACACATATTAGAAAGTTAGAATCGGCGTCTCTGAAGTTCTGAGATTATTTGTACATTTTAGTACCGAGAAAAATATTACCTGGTTTGGATGGTGCCAGCTTCCTTGTTGGTAGGATCTGCAAGTTCCAAAACTCTCAAATTTTAACAGAGGAGATACTTTTATGGTTTTACCTTTGGGGAGATAATTGCACCTGTTGCGTCTGTACCATCATTTGGGGGTGTTTCTATCATAGGATTCAAAGTATATATTTGGGGGAGGAAGTGAAGCCAAAACGTTCAGTATGAAATGGTTAGTATCTAACCTGTGAAAAAGATGATCCCAATACCATTTATTTTGGGACGTATGTTCAGATGTCATCTGCTAAACCAGTGGAATCATAGCTAAAAAACAAAAGGTTGAGTAGATACATTCCAATTTGGTTAAATGGGTATATACAACATTCCAATTTGATTAAATGGGTATATACACAAAAGTTTGGGTGGTTTCTAGAAATTTCGAAAATTATCTTTGGAGGCACAATTGAAATGCTTTCTTAATAGAATTTGTGCGAAGAAAATAAAAAGGACTTGATTTGATGACACATTCAACAACAATAAATTTCTTGTTCTATCAAACAATAGCATTCCTCAACAACTCCTATCCAGTTTTTACCATTCAAGAAGTACTAATGTTCATGATTCATACCCTAGATGCATGGTAGCAAGTTGAATAAAAAATGAAACCACAAATTTTGAAAGGACATTTATTTCATAACTATCACTTCGGGTAAAGACAAATAACGCAAATCAATATTACAGACATTTCAATTCCTGCTTTAAAACTCGTAACATCAAGAAAAAGAAATACCTGATAATACAATATTTGATTGCTTTATTATTTGCTTCATAAGTCATCAGAATTCATTCTTAATCAGTGAATACACTTCACAGCAAACTGGAAACTAAATGGGTACTTAGAGTCAAATACATTTGATCTTTAGTAGTCAAATTTCATTTAAGCTTAAGCAAATCACCTTGTAGTTGTAGAATTATCTTTTATAGGTTTCCACTCCCCTGCTTGCTGCAGCTTTGCTCGTTAGACACACATATATAGATACACAAATATAGCAATACACCAGTCATTTATATAATGTTAGGAGCAACCTTTTTTTTTTTTCTAAACACATGAATAGCTAGTAGTGTTGGGGATGGGGATGAGGAGGAATAGGGCAGGGGGAGGTGGAAGCGGAGAAAGGGGAGGTATGGATTCCTTTGCTTCCCACCGCAGGCGTCTTTGACCGGCCAGTCCCCGTACATCTATCCTCATCCTTCTCGATGCCGGTGGCTCTTCTTCTTACCTCTCCCCATTGATGTGGTGGAGATTGGGAGGAGACATGGCGGCTTTGGAGATGGGGGGAGGACGATGCACATCAGCGGGGAGGATGGGAGTGGAGGAAGCGGTGATGGGATTGGGGAGGAGGAGGCGAGCCGAGTGGCAGCAGCGGAAGCGCGGAGCACACGATCCGGCGCCTCCGCCTCCCGGGAGTGGGGCGGCGCAGCGACTAGGGAAAGGGGAGGCGGCCTCCCGAGATGGTGTAGTAGGGGTGAAAATGAATGGTAAGACTAGGGAGGTGGAAGGATCTTATTGCGAAAGAATTTTTACGAAGGATCTAGAATAGATTTTTCCAATCAATGAATCCAACAGCTCACATCATCTGTAGGGGCAATCGGGCGGCTTATGTTTTTTTGATGACGTGGCGCAATCTGGTGGTAAAAAACTTTACTTTTTTCACTACTTTAGATAGGGTTTTGAGCTTCTTTTGTTGTGACTTCTGTGACCGAGATCCAAAATCCTGCTGTAAGGCGTATCAAAACCTTCTACAGCTTGTCCTCGGCTTCCCACAACTATATGTGTGGTTTATGGGATATTCTCATCCAGCTCATAACCAACTTTGGCAAAGGAGGTCCGGCACACCAATCTTTGAAGAACACTTCCTTGATGATTTTCAGATCAATAAATATTCCATTCTCACGTGGCAAGTGGCAACTCTTAATACTGTCCATAATTTGGGTGTTTGAATTGACCGATTATATGCCTGTTGATGCTTTCCATACTGCTTCCACTACATAAGTAGTATGGTATACATTGCGATCCTAGGTAAACTGCCAGCATATGATCTCATTTTCTGGGCTATCCATTTTCTCAAACTCAAGAAGATATGCCATTGTGAGTTCACTAGAATATGCAGACAAAACAGTTGTAATATCTGGCAATCACAATCTTTCTTGATTACAAGCAGCCACATGGTGCTTGCTCTTGCAACTGTTTCTAGAATTTTTTCAGTGTTTGGCAAATTACCTTTCTTTCAATCTAGGTTCAGATGATAATGGTAATGATAATGTTCTGAAAATAAGGAACAATTTGGAGACACTGGACAGTTGGATAACATCTATTGTCTAACCATAGCTTGATTATCAAACAAACTTTGATGCTCATGAATTTACCTTTCTAGTACAACTTAAAATGAAAGCACATCATGGTACAATAAACGCATACTGACCTATGGACTGCTCTTCTCTACGGAACAATTTTGCTTCCAATTCAATATGTACCTCTGCAATGCAGAGCATTTTACACAACCATGTGCCACCTTGCTACAATGCTACGACATATATTGTTTTGCTTTCTCTAATTGAGTTGATTGTTTGCTTCTAAAATTCCAATGTTATACTTTACTCAAATGCTTGTGCATGCAGGACATTTGGCGCCATATACATTCCTTACTGTCACTTCAAGATGCTGCCCGTGCTGCTTGCGTGTCTCGGGCTTTTCTATGTTTATGGAGGTGCCGTCCCCACCTCACCTTCAGTTTGCAAACTCTGGGCTTGAGTGAAATGGCATGTAAAAAGGGTGGAATAGCTAGAGATTACAATAAAAAAGTTGACCGCATACTGAAAAAACACTCAGGCACAGGAATGAAGAAATTTGAGATCGAATTCTATGGTCCTTCAAATGCAAACACCTATTATCATCTCAATAATTGGCTTGAGATTGCTATTACATCTGGAATTGAAGAACTCACCCTTAGGTTGACTCCAGATGTGACAAAGTACAACTTCCCTTGCTCACTTTTATCTGATGGAAGAGGGGACTTGATTCAGTCTCTTCACCTTTCCCACTGTTCCTTCCGTCCAACAGTTGAGGTTGTTAGCTTGAGAAGCCTGACAAGTTTAGATCTATGTTTGGTGCGTATTACGGATAGAGAGTTAGGAATTCTCCTTTCCAATTCTTTAGTTTTGGAGAAGTTGGGAATCAAATACTGCGACAAGATTAATTGCCTGAAGATACCTTGTGTTCTAGAGAGGCTCAGTTCACTGGAAGTGTTTGAATGTTACAGCCTACAAATGGTAGAGAGCAAAGCTCCAAATTTATGCAGTTTTTGCTTTGGAGGTGAACAGGTACAGTTCTCAATTGGAGAACCGCTGCAAATGAAGAACCTGCAAGTGATCTTCCCCAACAGTATCAGTTTTGGCCGTGCTGAACTTCCATTTAGTATGCCTAATCTTGAAACTCTTAATATCAGTTCACGTTGTGAGGTATGCTCTACACTTATGCTTACAGCAGTCGCCACGCTCTGATATATAATTGTTCTGAGTCATCTTTATGCAGATGTCCCATACACCAACTGCACCTGGCAAATTCCTTCACCTCAGATACTTGAGTATTACTTTTGCGGGATGGAGATTTTCACGTGCCTACGATTATTTTTCTCTTGTTTCTTTTCTTGATGCTTCTCCTTTGTTGGAGACTTTCATCCTATGTGTGAGTTACTATTCATTCTGCAAGGCATATTTAGTAACTGTGCCATTTATAATTTATTGACATATCATCATTGGTTTTCACCTTCAGATTTTACAGAAAGGAAAGCATGACTTAACTTTAAGGGATCCTATATATCCAAGGCAAATGTCTGAACGCCAGCATGACAGCCTAAAGAATGTGAAGATCAATGGTTTCAGTTCCACAAAAAGCTTGGTTGAGCTAACATGCCATATTCTTCAGAACACAACTTCGCTTGAGTGCCTTACATTGGACACTACTCGCATTGAGTTTCGGTGTTCTGATAGTAGTGTTGATGTATGTCTCCCATCGGACAGGGATGCTATCAAGGGAGCGCATAAAGCGCTCTTGGCTATCAGAACATATATTGAGGGTATAGTTCCCGCTACAGTCAAGTTCAGTGTTCTAGAGCCTTGCCGCCGTTGCTACGCTTGGTAACTATGCCAAATCATTGTAATTAAACAGTATTTAATTGTGTAACTTCAGATGCGTTGTGCTTTCTGTTTTAAAATCAGTGGTGTACTGGTGTCCATAAAAATGCTGAGGTATGTGCTTTGGTTTATTATTAATCTCTTTCTGTAACTTAAGATGTGTCGTGATTTTGTTCCAAGTTATTGGTGGTCTGTTATATTCAGGACTGTGCTTTGGTTAATTTGATACTAATACCAACCAGACCATCTGATATTAATCCATGTGCTTGTACGGTTGTTCTGCTCTGCAATGTCAGTTTGGTACTCATGTTACTGGAAGTTGTTTAAAGATTTGCTAAAAAAAGGCTACTTATTAAAGCGGTACTTCTAATAATCCAATGCTTCATTTCTCATTAACGCTTGAGTGTCTGACACGATAGTCGCAGTTATCTATCACCACTGCAAATTCAGCAGCGTCCATCCATATCCCAGCCTGCCAAGTGGCATTCTACCTTTATCTCAAATTAGTTGTTGTTTTATGTTGTTTAATATAGATTAAAGTTTTTTTTTTCCAAAATATAGGATACGGTAAAATCTTATAGTAGTCCCATAATATAAAGAATTTTGATATACTACTTATCACATCCATCAACTCTAATTCAAATTTACCAAAATCAATAGGGGTATTGTAGTTTTTTCTTTTCATCATTAATCTTTCCCAAAAGAGAATAATCTCTTATATACTCCCTCTACGAATCTATACATACACTAGTAGGGTGCCCGTGCGTTGCTACGGGAAATTTTGTTGATCACGGAAAAAAAATCAGGCCCATATGGCCCATAGCTTGTTTCCTTTCTCAATTAATAATTCCACAAGTGCGCAGAAGCAAGCAAAATATTAGGTAGTGTTTGGTTTGAAGACGAAGTGGGATGGGTCAGACCTATCCTACTATTGTGGGATGGGATGGCTCCAGTTGACTGTTTGGTTTATGGTATGAGATGGTTATATTTTTTTGTTTGGTAGAAGGGATTGAGATGGGATGGGATGGACGGATTTGTACTCATCGTTAGTGCCGTCTAGGGGCGGAGGTGCTCGGCGGCGCCCGGATCTGAGAGGACCGGCGACGGCGCTTGCGGACGAGCGGCGGCGGTCGCGGACGAGCGGCGGCGGCGGTCGTAGACGAGGCAGAGGTGGCGGAGGTTGCAGAGATGGCGGTTGCGGTGCTCGTGGAGGTGGCGGCAGTCACGGAGGAAGCGGAGGCGGCGCCGGCCGCGGAGGTGAGGCAGCGGTTGGATCTGAGTGGAGCGGCGGCGGTGCTAGCGGAGGTGGCGGTCGCGGATGAGCGGCGGCGCTCGTGGAGGCGGCGGCGGCGGCCGTGGAGGCGAGGCGGCGCTCGTGGACGCGTGGAGGTGGCGGCGGTGCTCGCGGACGAGCGGCGGCGGCGGCCGTGGAGGCGAGGCGGCGCCCGTGGACAAGGCAGAGGCGGCGGCGCTCGTGGACGCGCGAAGGTGGTGATGGGTGTGGACGAGGCGGCGACGCTCGTGGACGCCCGGCGGAGCTCACGGAGGTGGTGGGTGGCGCGGTGACACCGTTCGCTCGTCCCAGGTGGGACGAGTTTGTCCGCCAGTTTTTGGCGGATCGGTTGGTCCCGGATCTGAGAGTAATATTCCTCTCCAGGGACCAACCCATCCACCCACCCCTAAACCAAACACCCCTAAAAGTGGGTTCGCCCCATCCCATCCTTACAACCAAACACTACCTTAGTGATGAATAATTGTGCATTGCCACGGGCAAAAATTATACACCAATTTAAAATCATACGGTAAAATGATGTGAAATAATTAACATACGTAAATTTTTTATGTTGAAAACATTAGCATAGCACGAATTATAATTACATCGCATCTTTATAGCTGTCACACTTGGTAATACAAACGAAAATTGATAAATAGAATAGACCGTGTGTTGCAATCTGGAATACAAATATTTTGAAGCTAAATCCTAGAGCCCAGAAGTAGACACCATGGTGTATTTAGATCGCCATCCCAAGAAGTTAACTTGCTGCATTCTCTACCAAGCACCCGCATGAAGCCTCCATCCCTTAGTCAAGGACGCATAGCTGTCAACCCATAAGGCGAATGAACACAGAAAAATTAATTGTAAAATTGCAAAGTAGGACATGATGCAATCGAAGCATTTATCAAACATGCATCCTGCTTATAAGAAATCAACCTCCAACCGGCATATAGGATAATTAATTGCAAAGTCCCAAGCAAACACTTGTAGAGCCTGTGCTAAACGCTAGAGCATATAGCATCTCTGTTAAACTAAAGAACAACTATACAGAAATATATTCCGAGTGATTTGATTAGTCAAAAAAAAAAACAGCTCTGAAGCATCTGTGGCTGGGAAAAGACAACAAAAATCTATCACCATGATCGTTGTTTCTGTGAGACTCCCAGTACCTCCTCCGGTTTTAAAATGCCATCAGCATCTCATATTTTCATTTGTAGAATTGAATTGCAGAGGAGAGGGATACAATGTCCCATGGTTAGCATGAATCTCATGGCAGTTGACCTCAAATAGAAAATTTTATAATTTACTTAGAAAGTTAGAAACTAAAAGTTGTTGCAAGAAGAAGCAAACTAATGCCTTAATCAGCAATGTGTCTGCAACATTTACCAACCACACGGTCAGCAGGTTTAAAACCAATTATTTATCAAGGCCCATAAGAAAGGTCGACAGAGAAATTTTAATCTTCCTTAGTGCAAACCGTCTGAATGACATGCTTCATTGTAAACCAACAGATAAATTTTAATCTTCCTTGCTACTCAAAACTAATTGGTTATCTTTTATAGGTCTAACAGCTCATGTTCATATTTATTCCTTGGACCAATTCCAATTGTGATTTAAAGTCATACAACTTTACAAGTCAATGAGAATATACCAAGATTATTACTCTGTTTGAGACAATCGCAATATACTCCATGGAAAGATCTGTTTGCTGAGAAAACCAGTAAGCTAACATCCTCAAGCATCCATATCAGCTCAGATCCTGGCGCATGATTTTCTAGTAGCAGTAAGTAAGGTAGAGCTGTAAAATCTCTATAGAAGCACATCACAAATAATCAATACGTGCATTGCTAAAGCATGGTTTGCTTAGTGCAGGTCACATTTTATGAGCAAAATGATCACATTTAAAATAAAAGAAAAAGAATCGTGCATTTGTTAATAGTAAATCGTTAAATTTCTCAAAAAAATTATATATTTCCAAGAGGGCAGAAGAAAGGAAGACATGGGCGAAATTAGCATGAAAAGAGTTCATCATTCGAGTCAATAACATGCACATAGCTAACCTGGTTTTGTACATGATGGTGTGGAGCCCCCAACAATATTATCCATTTCTGAAAAAAATGATATGATAGATCAAAAATTATGAATTTGTGAAACAACCAACATAAATATGCAGTGCACTCGTTTCATTGCTGACGAGGCTAGCATCTTATTATGCATCTGTTTATTTGATAGATCAAAAATAGATAGAAATAGTGAACAAAAATGAATATTAAACTACTCCCCATTCTTCCTCACGTGACAAAATAGTTCAAACGATTGCATGACATCTCACTGTTCTAATTGCTCCTCTATTTAAGATCTGTATCTAAAAAACAAGACGCAATGGAGTGAGACACTCAACTTTCAAGTCCCGATAGTACTTTCACTTAATTCTGTTATCGTCTACTGGAATCAACATTGCTATTTCTAGAATTTAATAATTAAAAATATGAAATGACAGGCTTCAAGTGTGAACTCAAAATACACTTTTGATTTGCAATTGATGTAGGGGCAAACATGAATAATGTGAGCAAGGTTGATACTTTCATTTTACCTCTCTCTTTGCATATAAGATCACAAAAGCTTCAATCATGCAGAAGTGGCTTTTTTAAATCACAACACAGGAGTTAATTGATATGACATCTACCATGTTAATTCACACACACCGCATACCTTGTTTCATCCCAAGGGGATTAATTCACACACACCACGTACCTTGTTTCATCCCAAGGGGATATGCTGCTAGCCAGGTACAAAACCCCCTTCCAAATTGGAATTACATTTGACAAGTTGCAGTTTGTTCAGTCTATGATCACATCTTTATATGCATAAATTTTTGTATGACCAGTAACATTGGGCAAGTGGAGTGTATTTTGGATGAACCGAACGTGTATTGTTATATCCAAGTATTTTAATGAAAGCTAGGCTTGAATATATGCTTTTGGCATGATATGAATTTATGTTCATACTTCTCATTAAGTAAGCCTTTTCCTGCTGCATTGTGCCCCGTACTGTTCAGTTTTTAGATATATCCATTAATTGTATATGAGAGACAACTAATCTCTATCAAAGAACAGTGAGACTCTACCATCTCCACAGTAGAGAACCAGCATACCTCCATAAGAAAAATTCAGAAGAAAACAATCAGGGAAAGTTCAGAGAACCGAGTGAAACTGACATGCAGCTAGAGACAAAAACATCAAGGAAAAAATCCACACCAATCTCCATATTAAAACAAAACAAAAAAAATCCAAACCTCTCTTCAAAAATCGCATCTCATTCTCAACTGGAAAAAGATGAGAAACACACACAATGCTTCAAGATCAAGGGCCTGTTTACTGTTGTTAGAAACCATAGATATATAGAAAATAGTACTGATTCATAAAGCATAACTTCAGCACCATAGGTTATATCACGGAATAAATCAATTGGTAGAGTAAAAACCTTTGTTTTTTAAGGAATAAAAATATTGGTAAACTGCTTTTACCTTCAATTGAGGTCATGAACCGAGGACATGGACTGGAAACAGCTGGACATGCGCACAGGAGGTTTCCAATCAGCGGGGTCACGGCTCACGCACAACGGTCTGCTGAACTTCTGAAAAATAACGAAACTTGTGAGAATTGAAAAGAATCTGCTAAGACATCTATTTTCAGTTTTTTTACTCAGAGGGTAGAGATGTCTGCTATTGCGATTAACCTTGCACCAATTAAATCATATCCTACTTAGATAGCTCACAAATTCTACTCGCTTAGCCACTGCATATCAAAACTAACATATAGCATTGCAAGAAAATAGGAGCACGTCCAGCTATTTAGTTGTGAGAGAATGAACATTAACAATCATCAATGAACAAATATGGCAATAACTGGTCACATCATTCACAGAAGAAAAAAGGCAAAAAAAAAAAAAGAAGAAGAAGAAGCTACCTTTTACCTTCAA